TGTAGTTAGAGAGTAATTGAAGCTGAATAATAATGCTTGTGAATAAACCGTGTGAACAGTCGCGTCTGTGATGGCTGTTGCTGTCCTGCCCGTTTCAGGCTTCCGGCGGAAGCGCCTCAGGTATTTTTGCTTTCGCCCGGAAATCGGTCAGAAGTTGGGTCCGATCACTGGGCCCTGACGGCTCAATCAGGCTTTATCTCCAGTCTCCAGACCACCACGGACGGAGGCTTCCAAAACGGGGCAAAGAGGCAAAGGGACTTGCCCGGCCGAGGGGGGGAAAGCAAACTAGAAGGGACGACGGACTGCTGCCTGAGGGCTCCAAATTAAGAAATCCTCCCAAGGGGGAAAGGCGCCCTCTGATTTCCTGAGTTGGCACCGAGGCAGACAGACAGCCTGGCTAGCATGGCTAGCATGGTTGCCCGTTCGGGAAAGGGGGCAGGGGTGGGGGGCCTGGCGATGAGCTAATAATATGCCACGAACTCACGATCGGTCCGATTCCCTGTACCAGAACGGTGCCGTTGCAGGTTAGGGAAGGAGTCGGGCCATGCCTTAGTAATTGTTTGATATCTCGCGACGAGGCTCCATCCACCCAGCCCGGTAGGTTTGCATAGGGATTGGAAGGACCTCCAGTGGGACTGAAGTGACAGGTCCTGTGGGTAGAGAGTAAGCCTCTCTACCCTCTACCTATCACTGCCTCAGAAATGACCATGGAAAAGTCGGAAAAGGCCAGGAAAAAGCAAACTGAGGCCGTTAACGGCAAGGAGGGCATGGCAGTGGAAAGTTCCCAGCCGACCGTACCTTAGCCCGCCGTACCAACTGACAGGGCAGCTCATCCTGCCAGATGCACTACTCACTTCTGTACCCAGTGGTTAGTCCAAACTTTCTCTGTGGTCGTCGCAGTGGTAGGAAGGTATAATTAGTCTTCGTATCCATCAGGGTACTATGTATCAGGGCCCCCGACGACAGGACTGGAGACCTGAGTAAAAGATACTTAGTAGTACTACTAGTACAGTAGGTAAGGTACTGACTGTACTTCGTAGGTATCAGGGAGAGCAGACTGGTGGGAGAGCCCCCCTTCCCCACCAAAAAGGATTTCGGGAATCTTTGAGGGAACTACTGCAAAGTCTCAGAAGACAATATGGAGCCCATCCTTGCCAATCTGGATGTCATGGGCTCGGCAGAAACCCCAGGGACCCTAAGTAAAAATAACCGTCACCACAACCGTCACCACAACCAGTAACCCGGACGGATCACCAGTCAAAGTCACCAGTCACCACCAGTCATCCATGAACCATCTTCCTCTGTCTTCTTCTGCAGCCCTGAGTGATCTTTGGCCCTGGGCGATCCACCCGGTCAAGGCGGCATGGACCGCGCGAACGGTGTCTGCTGCTATTCTTTGCCGGCTTAGCCTCCTACTGCTTTGGGGGACAATAGGGGATTATTCACCCCTCCAGAACCCAATCGTAACCAGCGAGTCTCCCAGTCGTCCCAAAAAACCGCGATTCCGGGAAACAAAAATAATCACAACGTTCTTGGCTGCTGCTAACTTGCGATGACTTTAGTCCTGAGCTAACCTCCCCTCAGCAAGAACACCCTCCACTTAGCCACTTAGCATGGTTTCCCCCCCCTCTCTCTAGTATGGTATCGCTTGCCTTTTTTTTTTTTTTTTTTTTTTCCTTTCCCTTCCCTCTTGTCCTTTTTTTTTTTTTTTTTTTTCTCTTACGGGAGTATCTACCCTGTCTTAATCTTTCTGCTACGGGATCATTCCGTCGGGGCCCTTCCTTTTCCCCTAGAAGCTTTCCCCGTGACCCGACCCTAGAGTGGTTCTTTGGTGAAAGGATTAAGGATGGTCGTAAAGGAAGCCCATCTCTGGGTATGGGGCGGTACTAAGAGCCTAAGTCTCCATGGGACCGGTTGAGGTGTGGAGGACCACTGCCAGCCCAGGGACTGCGGCGATGGAGCAAAGAGATCCATGGGCCAACCAGCCATTTAGTCTTCAGATTTCAGGGTGTTGTGAAGGCCCGAAGGCATTGGAGGTATAATTATAACAACAATGAGGGTCAGAGATCCAAACTCATCTTTCCGCGGGGGACATCATCGAGCGTGCTGCTTGTTGCTTATAATCGTGGTTCGGCCTCGCTCTGAAGTATTTATTTTATTATTCACGACGATTAACTACTATTATTCACTCTTCCTCTTGAATCATCTACCTGAGTGATTCCCTGCCAATACACCCAGGATACCGCGACGACTGCTCCCTTACCATTCTTATTTTCCCTATTATTTCCCTAGTCCCGGTCCCAGTCCCAGTCCCAGTCCCAGGCCCCGTCCCCGTCCCCGTCCCAGTCCCTGTGTCCCTACCTCCCCATCCTCCTCCCTCCAGCACATCCCCGCCACACTAGGCCCTGCTCTACCACCACCACATCCTCGGCCCAAGTGGATTGTTGCTCCAGGGAAAAGTAATATATCTCTCGTCATCTCGTACTTGACCGTCACCTCTCGTTTTTCTTTTCCTCCAGTTATCTATCATCATCCTGCTTCTTTTTTTTATTCCTATCCCGCCTCGACTTTACTTACTTCTTTCTATTTACTACTACTTCCTTCTCTTCCCCTCCTCCCCCCCCTCTTATTCTTCCCTCCTCTCCCACTTTCTCATGACCTGGTCTGGTATGGCATAGTGAGGGTCCTCGTCGCATCTCTTTTCTACACCCACCTTCCACTCGCTCGTCTTACGTTCGCCTTACACTCGCTTTGTTTGGTATCGAAGAAGTATTGTTGCCTACGCTCGCTACGGTTCTGTTGATCGACAAAGAAGAAGGGAAAAAAAAAAGAAAAGTGAAGCATCTATCGACACGACGGATTGGGAATTGATCGGGGTTATTATTGGACATCCTAATATCTAATCTTCACGAACCTCACGCACTCGCTGATTGTTCGACGACAACCTTCGTTTTGACTGTTTAATTAACTCCAGCCTCTCTGCGCGCCAACCCGACCACCAGAAGGAACCTGGGATCCGCGGAAGACCGGTCGATTGAACTGACGCCCACCCCTTTGCCGTCTCTTGTCTCGTGCGTTTGTCTGATCTCTCCACGCCGGGTCTATAGAGCGATCCCCCCGTTTGTTGCACGGAAGGTACCCCAGGAAAGATCACCGAAGAAACCCCCCCGTTTCCGCTGCTCTCATCACCACCACCGAACCCCCCCCCCGCGATTGGCAAGGAAATCAGGAAAATAAAATATAATAAAAAAAAAAGTACGGATTCTAGTAAATTGCTGGGTTCAGATTCGCCATCTGTCTCTCAATTTCCCCGAACCAGTGCAGATCGCCCGCCCCAGCCGATTCGCCAATCTCGTCTCTGGATAGCCCTTCGACAAGGCCTGACCTGGACTCAAATCATCGTGGATCGGTGTCTCGGCTGTGAGAGCACCACCTCATTGCGAACTAGCAAAAAGCGTCTCAGAACCGGAGCCCTCTTTTGCCTTCTACTGAAGTCATTGGTCTGTTAAGGTTGGTGCCAGCCCTCCCTCCCTTCGCCACAAGTCTCTGTGGTGCCTTGCATCACTCTCCTTCGTGTCCCCTTCCCTCTGTCCTCCTTGCTTCTCCAAGGTCGTGCCTTTGCTGCACCGGATCCCCAAGGAAAATTAGGGTCCACGATGGGTTCCGTGCGCTTGTCATCTCCCTTGTGTGGTTTTTCTGTCACTAAGCTCCGGATGTTTGTTGTTGACCCCGTCAAAGGTGTAGGTTATCTCGTTAGTCGCCTAGTGACTGGGAAATTTGCATATTAGCTTTCTAAAGACCTCAGCGACGCACTTCTCATATCCTCATTTCTCTTGGTAAGTCCTGCTAGTCCATGCAGCGAGCCGCTTCCCTCACCTTTGGGAGGTTCGTACTCACTAGCTGGGTAGTTCGTGCATCGACAACAGCACCGTCCCCCTAATCCTAGCCGGATCCTGAGACTTTCTTTGGCTTGGACGAACGCCAGAGAGAGGAACACCGCCTGTCTCGGCTCGCTTGGGTCATTCTCGCTCGCTTCTTTTGAGACCCTGCGACACAGATCGATCGCTGGTGCCGTCGGGCTTGACCGCAGTGTGAGGTTGAGATATCGTCCTCAGATGGAAGCGGGTTTCCTATAGGTGGTTAGGAAGCAGACTTTGGCAGCCTGGCTCCCATCCGGTCCATATCCTGCAGCCAACCTTACCCGGTTTCACTCGGGGTCGTTGGATCCTGGTCGCTGATTCGAAGCCCTCCGCGGCCTCTCTCTCGCTCAGGCTGACAGCCACTTCGTGTCGTCACTCGTTTTGTCTCGGAGAGCACCCTAGTGACTTTCCGGCATCCTATCGTTTTCCAGGATAAATTCGCTGTCATTCGCTTCTTTAAGCTGTTGTGCTTCGTTGCAGTTTCTGCAACACCTTCAAACTGGCTTACTCGAAGACGCACGGTGTTTTGGTGAGTACGAATGATGCGTCCGATTCTTTCTGTTTCGCTGCCCAATTGTTGCTTTTTATCGCCCCCCTAACCAGAAGGCCTTCGCCTGGTTTGGAATTCTGTGGTCCATATGTTGTCTCGCGGGCATGCCCTTCTGGTCTGTCGACCGTCGCACATATGACCTCCGACTAACCCTGCCGGTTACAGTTCAATCCACAGTTACAAACGCCGTTAATTCTAGACGAGTCTTTGGACTTTTCCGACCCCGAAGAGTCGCAGTTTATCGGTGCATTTTCAGACGGCCTTTTGGCCAAGTCTGATCCCATTTTGTCTATGTCTACTTTTCAGAAGCCCCCGCACGCGGCGTTGATCGGTAAGCTCGTTCCCGTTGCATGTTGCATGGCTTGTCCAAGGGCATCTTCTGGACGCTCCCTTTGGCTGGCTTTGAGACACCCATGTTGACTCAATATTGAGTAGATTATGACTCTGCTCGATCTATGCACGATGCTGTCTCATATCCGGACTACGGCCAGGCACCGTATGTGACGGCAGCGTCGCTAGTCCCCTCGCCGATGGCAGACCATACAAGCCAAATATCGGACTGTGTCCCGTACATGACAAACGGAGAATATGCCAGTTCCTACGAAGAAGCTCGCTCACCAATGCTAGCTGGGGAACAGCGCCAGATCCCGGAGGTTGTCTCTTACTCTCCTCAGAGAGGCTCCGAAGGGACCAGAGTCTTCGTGCAGATTCAATCTCCGTACGATCTTCACACCTCGTCCTATGCGACTCTTTATCTCGTGTTCGGCTCGAAGCGATGCGAATGTGTCCCCCATTTTGTCGGCTTCCAAGGCCCTTTGTTCCAGTACGCGCTTTCCGTCGACACGCCTCCGTTCATCTCCACGGGCTCGCCGTCTTTCGCAGTGCCGTTGCAGGTATCCGTGGACCACAACGACTGCCACGCTGCGACTCTGCAAGTCGGTGTCTACACATACGAGCAAGCCACCATGCAGTCACCGCCAGATGAGTCTCGGAAACGACGGATATCCTCATACTCAGAAGAGCCCCTCTCGAGGGCAACGAAACGAATCACCGGACAACCGATGCACGTCAAACAGGAACAGTCCACCGGATCCTCTGCATCCTATTCTCCCTATTTGCAGTCTCTGCCCGGAATGAATGGCCTTGTTCCTCCTCACCGCCGCGCTCAACACCCTTGTGGATCGCCTAGGATCCCGGCCGGCCATTATTCCTCTTTGTCGACCACGTCCCAATCTTCTATCAGAGCGCCATCGCCCCTAACCCCCTCATATACCCCTTCTATCCTCTCGATCGGAAATGACTCCAGAAACGGCGGCTACTCTATTGCCCAGTGTTTCCGACAGAATCCGGCCTCCCCAGGGCGTTACTCCAACCCTACGCTCATTCGGACCTCGACATTGCAGCAATCGAGCAGTCTTGGTCAGACGCCGTCGTTCAATCCGTACGCCATGTACCCCGCCAAGGCCGTGTTGAAATTGAACGGTGATTTGGATACCATGACAGAAAACTGGCCTAGGGAGGAACAGGAGGCAAAGCGCCGACTGGTTCAGTTCACTCGCTCGCAAAGTGGAAGTACGATCCACGCGGATTTCAAACCAGTGGCCCCTGAGGATCGGGCTCCGAACAGCATCTGCATCAGCTGCATCTACTGGGACGGCAAGGATGAATGCTTTGTCACCAGTGTTGACACCATTTATCTGCTCGAGTCCCTGGTCGGCGTTCGATTTACGGTGGAGGAGAAGAATCGGATCCGCAGGAATCTCGAAGGGTTCCGACCTCTCACCGTATCGAAGGCCAAAGCCGACAGTGAGGAGTTCTTCAAGGTCATCATGGGCTTCCCGGCACCAAAGCCCAGGAATATTGAGAAGGACGTGAAGGTCTTCCCCTGGAAGATCCTCAGCCACGCCTTGAAGAAGATCATTGGGAAATACGTAAGTACTCAAGCTGACTCCCCTTCGGGATCCTGGAACAGGTAGCTAACTTTCCACCTTCCAGTCTGCCAGCTACTCTTCAACTGCTGGAGCACTGTTCACCCCGATGGCTTCAACCTACACGAGCAACGGTGCCGCCTCTGACTCCGGGACCGAGCCCCAAAACGCCGCCTCCCCTCAGTCTGTTTCAGATACTGCTGCTCCAAGCTCCTACGGGGCGAGCGTCGCTTCAGCTTATCCACCCACTCCAATGACGGGTGCCTCTGAGATGCGAGGCGGTTTGCCCTCTGTCACCCAACCCTACCATTCAATGCCGACGCCGTACTCATACCCCGCCGTCTGTCAGCAGCAGAGCCAGCTCGGTCTTCCTGCCGCCTCCGTCAACAACAGGGCTTGGGAGCTGAATTCTCTTGTCACCCCGGCTGTCAGTGCAGCTTCAAGTAGCAATCCTTGCTACAACTATCTCACCACAATGCCGTCGATGTCGCAGATGTCGGCTATGCCGTCGATGCCCTCAATGTCGCCAATGCCGTCGATGCCGTCGATGCACTCGGTGCCGTATCCAGTCCAAGGCCATCCCCATGCCTCTTGAGTCTGCAATCTCCCACTCGTTGGCGGGCTATGTCAACTGGCGTTTGGGCCTCATTTCCGTGTTTTCGTCTCTTGTGTTTTTATCCTTCTATTACTTGATACCTCTTTCCTTATTGTTGTCACTCCTTCCAAGTCCCCGGCGCTGGGCCACACGTGATGGATCTTCCGGCTTTGCTTCTTATGATCACCGAGTGAATGATCTCATGTCTCTCCTTTGCAATTCTTCACGCTTGATGCCCCAATATCCTCTTTGCTTTGACGCGCTATAGACGATATGTTCTTGATTTCCCCCCACCTTCCATTCCTGTTTTCCTCTGCATTTCCACGTGGGCATTGGGATTCCACTCCTTCACGAAGCTGTATAACTACCTACCTGGCATAGCATGGCGCCGCAGTCGTTCCTTCCACTTGGCACGGGTGTGGGAACACCTCTTGGGATTGATGTCACAGACATCTCTGGGTTGGCGAAGGATAAAAAAAAGTGTGAAATGGGCTTTGGTCTCAAATCGTGTGTCCGTGTTGTGTGTATGTGGGTGTTTCTTTCCTGCTGATTACCCCGTTTCTGCATTCTTGATTGCGCCTCTGGGCCCCGGCGCGGGGTCACTTACTGTCCTCATCTCGGGGGGATGGATGGGATGGTTTCCTGCCGGTTTCCATATCTGCATAGCTCTGGCGTCTGTGAATATTGTTATTCTATTTCCTTTCCTCCCCCTTCTTCACTTCACACTGTCTGTGTTAGTGGCCAGTTCGGATGTGAGATGTGATTGATTACATTATAATCTAATATCTAGAGATTCTTCTTGAAAAGTTTTCCGAACTTAACTACTACTTATCTTACCTACCTGGATTAGCTATTTCGTACATACCTTCTCTCCTACTTCCTACCTCGTAATGCATTCGATTCTATACCTGGCTAACATCATCAGTCTGAAGTTTATCCATGGAGCCGAGCTTTCGTGGCTGTTGCTGTTGCTGTACTCATTGGCTCAGCATACATGCCATGTACAGTCTTTCGAAGGATCGGAACTCCTCCTTCCTTCCTGCCTGTTGCAGGCACGCCCACTCTGTATTTGTATTAGCATCCACTATTCCACCCCGATTTGACGATAGACTGCAATGGCGGGAACAGTAGGTGAGAAGCAGCCAGTAACCAATCTCTCGAGAAGAACGAAATATGGATGGATGGTGGATAATGAATGACCCTGAGGCGAGACGTTAGTGATAGTCTTGTTTGTTTCAGGCCCCAATCCCGACGGGTTGGTGGCGGTTAATTGGGGGGGGGATGGACTTTTTGCAGGGGGAAGGGGTAAGTTGGGTGAAGTTGGTTGTTGCGGTTGCGCAGTGAGAGGGTCTGGCGCTCATCGCCAACCCATCCCGCGCCTTCCTAAACGGGCCATCTCGACATCACTCGAAGGGTATAAACCCCCCCCCCCCCCCTCGCCCGCCTTCGCCCTCGCTATTTCCACAGGTCTCCATCCATCTATCGTGCTCCTCACGACCTCCTCCTCTCCCTCGCCGTCGCCCTCTGCGATTTAGAAAGATGTATACCATAGTAGACACAGTCACACAACATAGACGTGAAGCATTCTCATCTCAGACAACAACTGGCCTTACCTTACCTTAAATGCCACTACCACACTTCAGCGAGTCAACCGAAGTGACCGACTGTCACATATAGCAAAACAATCATGTTCTGGATAGATCTCCCCAAATGAAGTCTCTCAGTCTCTCACGTCATCACCCATCACCCTCAACAGCAACATCCTCCCACAAAGCCACCGCACTCCCCTCCCCCTATTATCACCCACCCTCAACACGGTGACTAAATCCGCAATCAGGTCCGGCCAGTGGGCGTGGACCCGACCCGACATACGTCGCCGATCGCCCTGGAATGCGGTTGTCGGCTGGGCTGGCTGGCCCCAGGGTCCAAGTCGTGTGCGGCATGGCATGGCTGACCAGGATTTTTTTTGCCTGCGATTGTCCCCCGGAGAAAGAAAGACCCATTCGTCCATTAAGGAAGGATTGCTTGTTCCCCCCCCCCCCGCCAGGTTTGTGTTTGCTTTGGGTGGGTGGAAGGGTGTGAGTAACTAGTGGTCTGATATCGCAACCGCAGTGAGTAAAGTAAGTAGACTAAGACTTGGGTGTGGACGCCGGACGGGAATGGCGTGATGAAGAAACTGATCGTCGTATGAATTTCTGGTGGATTCCAGCTGATATGAGATGGAATGGATAGATATATATATATAAAAGAGGCAGACAGTGCTGATGCCTCTGTGTTTCTGGAATTAGAAGAGAGTTGTCTGGTGCTATCTGCTATCTATAGATTGATTGCCGTAGAAGGCTAAGGCAGCCTAAGAGCCTGAAGCTGAACCCGAAACCTGAAGCTGGAGTCTGTGTGTGTGTGGAGGCTGGAGGGCTGGGGTACATGCAATACAGCGGGCGTACCTTACACCTACGTAACTGGTATGTTACCCCGTGTGGTAAGGAAGGCGGTATTATTGCACGGACGGTGACACTGACACTCCAGCAGTAGGAAGGAGCAGAGTAAGTAGACTAGTACGGAGTAGATAGTAGTGACGACACCCACAAATCCCCCATCCATCCATCCAGCCAGCATGCCTAAGGTTCGCGATGTATGCCTTATGCCTTGCCGCCTGCTTACATTCTGCAGGACATGATGTATGTTTTGGGGATATTTTTACCTTACTTACTTACCTGCTGCTGGAACTACATCTGCACGAGTAGTAGTATTGCTCTTTAAAAAAAGAAAGTAGAATGCTATGCTGGTGTAGATAATTACTCACAGTCTCCAATTCCGGTTTTCTAAAAATACCACCGACGGGAGCTAGATAGATACTTTCCTTAATCCTTTCCCTTTCCATCATCCATCCAAAGCGACACGTCGAGGAACCGAAGCGTTTGCGGCCACTCCACCATTGACGGGCCCGGCGTGGCAGTATCCCCCCGTCGGTTGGTCGGCGGGCTCTCTGGCCACGCACCCGGCCGGAAGAACGCCTGCGTTTGAGAATCAAGAGAGAGAGAGAGAGAGAGAGAGAGAGACAATCTGACCTGTCACCTGTCGAGAGATTGCGAGGGGCTGCGTCTAGACTAGACCAACTAAGATAGATGATGCCTCAATTTGGATCCGTAGCCTGTCTGGGTTGGAGCCTATAGTTATATCTCAAATGGATGGATAGATAATTCTCAGGCTGGGGATTTGTGCGATGCGATCAGTGTGGGCTGATGTAATGCGGTAAAAAGACCGTACGGTCACACCGGGCGCTGTACTACAGTACTGCAACCAACCTCAAGCTCCTGTAACCAGAAGCAAACGAATGGCGCGCGTACGGGGTGGTACGAGGCGGTAACTGCCACGCCCCCCAGCTAATTCGCCGCAAGCCTCTTCAATTTTCTTGTGCTGCCAGGAACTCTCGATCCTTTCGATCTTCTGATCTCGACCTGGATCGTCTAGCGTTCTTGTTTTCGACCTTGACTCTCTCCTCCTCTAGCTGCTTGCTCCAGATCGCTATCCCCACGACAGAAAAGGTATCTCGCTCCCTCCACCTCTTCCCTTCCCATCCTCCCCCCAGCCGCCCTCTCTCCGCCCTGTCTACCTACCTACTGCTGCTGCTCTACCTGCCCTCCCCTCCTCGCGGCCCTCGCTGATCCCGTTCTTCTCTTCTCCTCACCAGCTCGCCCACTTGCTGTCTCCAACCCACCCTCCCCCTCAAAAACGTTCGCATCGCCCCTCTCGCTGCCAATCCTCAGCCCATAACTGAACCCTCTAGATCTTCACTCGAATTCTTCTCCCTCCTCGCTGGACCGGTCTATCTCCGTCACCAGCTGTCGACTCATAATGCCTACGCCACTTCCGTCTAGTTTCGCCTCGGCCGCCGCTGGCAACACCCACGACTCCTCCGGCCGGAGAGGTGATGGAACTGCTGGTGGAGAATGGTACGCTGCTCTGCTCCGTCTGCTCCGCGTACTCACGGGCGTTCTGAACGGACGTCCCGCGGGGATCTCCAGCCACCCACTGACACGTCCAACCTAGGTCTCGATCTCGCATGAACGGAGCAACACAGACTTTCCGCCGTCCGTCCGTTGCGACAAACCCTTCTCACAACCGGGATGCCAGCCAGCCCACGTCGGCTACCACTCCCACCGTCGGCACCTACACCCCTCCGCATATGTCCTCGACCTACCCGGCCGCGCTACGTAACGGAGCAGCCACCGACACCCGCTACAACAAGGATCAGCTTCTCAGTCTCTACCGCAACCAACGAGAGTCGGGCGTGCTGGGGAAGAACGTTGCAGAGTACTTTGTCGCTGACTGGAATCCCCACGAGACATCTCCTGTGAACGGCGCCTGGGGGAAGCGGGAGGATTCCAAGGACAATCCCTCCGGCCCGGAGGTATGCTGGGACCATGGGGGCCACGTAGAGCCTTTGGGGTTGGTCGACATGACTGACGATGAGAAAGAGGTTGGTCTCTTCCCCCCGCCCCACTCGAGCCTAATTGGTGGACCGTGCTGAAGGGCGCAGTTATTCACCCTCTCCGTCAACTCCCCCCTCAAACCGCCTCCCACGAACGCCTCCAAGGAGACCCCCGGCACCGCGACCGGAGTCCGCAAGCTTTCCATCTCCCAGGGCCATATGAACAACTACAACACCGCATCCCCCAGTGCTGGGCGTCCCAACCCCAGGCGCCGGGAGACGGGCGATTCCACCGGCAATCCCATGTCTCCCACCACCGCCGGCTCTCGCTTCTTCCGCGAAGAATCGACCGCCGCCACCCCGCCCCCGTCCCTGTTGCGCCGCAAGACCGACTTTCGAGATACTTCTTCTGCTGCTCGCTGGGAGGAGAAGGAGAAGGAAAACGGGGCCCGCGAGGGAGCCGCCGAGGTCGCCTCGCCGTTTGGTTCGTTGAAACGCAGCTCCACCAACCCCTTGAATCCAGCCCAGGGCGCCTCCAATTCCCCATGGGGCTCTGCGTCGCATAATGCCAACTTCTCGCCGATGGGTGCCTTCGGGGCGTTTTCCTTGGGCACAGGCACGGGTCCGGGCACGGGAGCCCCCACCGCCACCACCCCGACGACGGAGAAGAAGCCTGGGTTCGGTAGCGTCCGTGGAGAGAGCCGTCTGAAGGGGCTGTTCTCAAAGGATAGCTCCGAGGACATTGCGGCTGCTATCAAGGAGAAGTCATCCCTGAGCAGCCTGGAGCGCCTGGGTGAGGGAGAGGGCGAGAAGCGCGCTCAGTCGCCTTGGGGCGAGCCCGTCAAGACGCGCACGGGTCGCAGCGAGACGAACCCGTTCTCCGAGGAGCTCCGCAGTGGCAGTGCCGCGCTGGGTGGGTCGCAGGAGGTCAGTACGCCTTCCCAGACTGCTGACCAGCTGGGATTCTCCGCATTTGGCATGACCTCCAGCATCCCCGGATTCCGGGAGCTGATGCAGAGCCACGAGAACTCCCGCAACCCGACGCCCAGTCTCCTGCAGGGACACGAGCCGACCAGTCCGACGAACACGAACCCCTACCAGAGCCCCCACGGCGACAGAGGCGGTGGCGACGATGACGTCGAGACTGACGGATCTGACATCCAGAACACCACGCATCCTGGTATCTCGGGACTGCGTGATAACTCGTCCGCCTTTGGCTCGATCCGCCGGGTCGGCTCGGGCATGGACCTGCCTGCGATCGACCGGAGCCAGACCTCGAGCGCCGCCGGCAACCGCAGCTTCTCCGGCCTTGGTGGTTTGGGCGGCCTTTCTGGCCTGGGCGGTTCTGGGGGATGGCCCACCAGCGCTGCTGTTGGCACGCCTACCCGGGAGCGATCCGCCTTTGCCGGGGGATTTGGTGACCCGATCTTCGGTACGATGGGCGATCTCCAGTCTCCGAGTCTGTCGAGCCTGGGAGGAAGTGGTCTGTTCAGCCCCATGCCGGGATCTCGGGCACGGGCAGCCTTGGTCGGTCTAGCAAGCTAGGATCCCTCTTCCCGGCTGCCATGCAGGAGCAGATGCAGGGTGAGCAGCGGCATGACCTGGGAGTGATGGACGACGGCTCGCGGCAACCAGGTAAGAGTCTCGAACATCCAGCTGCGCAAAGTCCGCTAACCCGCACAGACGCTCCACCAGGCGACAAGCAAGGCCAACCCAGCCAGCCCGGTTCGACCTCGGACTCGCAGACCCCTGTGTCCGCGGTGGGCTCTCTCCCGACCTCGATGGCACCTGATATTCCTCCCAGCATGACTCCCGGACAACTCGGGTCCGTGCCGCCTGCTCAACAGCGAACGATGGTGATGCCGGATCGGATGCGTTGGATCTACCGGGACCCGCAGGGCAACATTCAAGGCCCATGGACCGGGCTCGAGATGCATGACTGGTTCAAGGCGGGCTTCTTCAGCCCTGACCTGCAGATCAAGAAGCTCGAGGACCCCGAGTTCGAGCCGCTGGCCCAGCTGGTGCGACGCATCGGCAACTCGCGCGAACCGTTCCTGGTGCCGCAGATTGGCATCCCCCATGGACCCGACCCCAACCCGACTCCTTGGACGGGAAGCACGACCGGCACCGCCCAGCCTCCGTTCCCGGGCAGCTTCCCAAGCTTCGGGACCACGCTGACGGCGGAGCAGCAGAACGCGTTGGAGCGGCGGAAGCAGGAGGAGCAGTATCTAATGGCGCGGCAAAAGGAACACCTCGCGCAGCAGCAGGCGCTCATGAAGCAGATGCAGTTTCAGGGCGTCCCGCACAGCGGCATACACCCTCACCAGCTGCAGCACCACTCGAGCGCGCACAGCCTGCACAGCCAGCCCAGTTTCGGCAGCATCGCGTCGCCCGTCGGGTTCCAGCCGTCGCCCATCCAGGCGCCGATGCAGCAGCCCCAGTCCGTGGCCGGCTTCTTTGATGCGGCGACCCCGGGACGGGCGAACCCGCTGCCCAACGTGGGCCCTCAGATGCTCGGCACCGACCTGGGCCAGGACCAGCTCCCAGCTCTGCTTGATCGGTTGAACGTCAGCCGGCCAGACCCTTTCGCCTTTGGCACGCCCAGCTCCTTCTCGGGCCGTCAGCCTGACAGCCTGTTCCACCAGCCCCACGTCGCGAGCATCCTCCAAGATCGGGCCCAGCTGCAGCAGGAACAGCAGCAGTACGACAGCACTCAGGGTGACAGCCTGTTTGACCAGCAGGCGCGCGAGGAGCGGCTCCGCGAGTTCCATGCCCTGCGGGCGCAGGAGGAGGAACTTGGGCTGCGGACCGCCGAGGGCCTACCCACCCACCCGGCGCAGGATGTTGAGCTCGAAGTGGCGGAGAGCGTGACTACAATCGAGGAGCCGACTCTCACGCTGTCGCAGCAGGTGCAGAAGGCCGCGTCCGCCCAGAGACAACTGGAGCAGCTGGAGCAACAAGAACAGCAGCAGCGTGAGGAGCAGCTGCAACAGCAGCAGCAGCAGCAGCAGCAAGAAACCAATGCCGTGTGGAACACTATCGACAGCGCGATGCCCCAGCCGTTCCCTCCCCCGCCGTCTGCCTCGCCGCTGCCGGCCCCGCGGCGCAGCGCAACCGCCAGAACGTGGCCGAGTCGCTGGCCGCCAACTCGCGGTCCCAGACCCAGACCCCTGTGGAGGCGCCGACCACTTCGATCGCGCCGTGGGCAAAGGAAGCCAACGAGGTGCCCAAGGGACCGTCTCTGAAGGAGATTCAGGAGGCGGAGGCCCGGAGTGCGGCGCAGAAGGAGGAATTGGCGGCGGCGGCTCGTCGCGCGCAGTTGCTGGCGGAGCAGGAGCGTCTCAGCCAGGTGCAGGCGCCTGCGCCCGGACTCCCGTCGACGGCCAACTGGGCCAGCGCTGGATCTCCGGCCACGCCCACGTCGTCGGGCTCGGTGTGGAGCGCCAAGGGCCCTGCCGCGTCGTCTGCTAAGAAGACTCTCGCGCAGATCCAGAAGGAGGAGGAGGCCCGTAAGCAGCGCCTGGCTGCGGCGGCGGCGGCTGCTCAGAGCGCTGCGGTCAGCCCTCCGGCGGCGCCCCCGTCGACTGGCAAGCGGTACGCGGATCTGGCCAGCAAGGCCCCGGCGGCGGCGTCTCCCGTCAGCGCGGCGGCGTCTGGCGCGTGGACGACGGTGGGCGCGGGCGGCAAGGCCAAGGCACCCCCGGCGGCGCCTTCTGGACCGCGGTCCAGCAGCGGCGCGACCCCGGTGCCTGTTTCGCCGGTGAAGCCCAAGCCCGTGGCCGTGGCTACGCCCCGGACGGTGGTGGCGACGCCGCCGACAAACCCGAACCGGGCAGTGGAGGAGTTCACGAAGTGGGCCAAGCTGACGCTGGTCAAGGGGCTGGACAGCAACATCAATGGTGAGTAGCTGTCCTTTGTGACTGCATGTATTTCGTGAGCCAGATAGCTAACCGGAACAGTGGACGACTTTGTGCAGCAGCTGCTGTTCCTGCCGGCGGAGGCGGAGATCATCTCGGACTCGGTGTACGCCACCTCGCAGACGCTGGACGGGCGACGGTTTGCGGAGGAGTTCATCCGGCGGCGCAAGCTGGCGGACAAGGGGATCGTGGACCCGGTGTCGGCGAGCGCGTTCGGCGAGAAGAGCACGGGGGGATGGAGCGAGGTGGCCAAGAAGGGGTCGAACGCGGCGAATGCGCACCGCGAGGAGGACACCAGCAGCGCGGCGTTCAAGGTGGTGGCTCCCAGGAAGAAGGGGAAGCGGTGATTGATACATATTGCTGTTCTGTTCGCATGATTGTGTTGTAGTTGGGATGAATATAGTCAACTGCTGATTCTGTATGATTCTGCTCTGATTGTGTCTATGATATTCCGGTGGATCCTTCGTAGGCTCAACTTCTTCCGCTGATCGTGTAGCTGGTAAGTCTTTCTTTAGCACTGCTGCCTATATTCCAGCATAGACTCTTAATCTATAAATCGAGATTGAACTCAATCGACCTCGGCTATGGCTGCTGCCTGCACGCCCTGCACGCCCTTCGGGTGACTCTTAGTCTAGTCTTATCGCCGTGACTCACTCGGATCGCGATCCGGGGACGGCGATTACTATATAAAGCAGCCCTAACTATCTTCTATCTTCACAGCTGCTCGACCTCCACTCTCCTCACTGGATTTTACGGTTCCTGTGAACAAATACATCATGTCGGATACTGCTCCTACTCCTACGCCGTTTGGGGCGCCCATGCGCGAGCATTTCCTGTTTGATCCGGAGTATCGTAATTTGAATCATGGTAAGGGTTGATGGATTGATTGCTATCAGTTCAGTTCCCCTCTTTGCCCCTTGCCCCTTGCCCCTCTTTCTGCCACTACTGTCTATATCATTATCATCCCCATCTTCTTCTTCGATACAAACAACCATACCTCAGACTACAACAAACAACAATCAACTGACAAAATAACATACATAACAGGCTCCTACGGCACATTCCCCCTCCCCATCCGCCACACCCAGACCCACTACCAAACGCTCGCCGAACACCACCCGGACACATTCCTGCGCCTCACCTCGCCCACCGCACTGCGCACCTCCCGCGACCAGCTCTCGACGCTCCTCTCCACCGCGGCCTCCAACCTGGTCCTCACCCGCAACGCCACCACCGCCGTCTCCACCATCCTGCACAACCTCCCCTTCCTCCCCGGCGACGTCGCCATCTACTTCTCCACCGTCTACGGCGCCGTCGAATACGGCCTGCAGGCCCTCGCCGAGCGCACGCCCCTCCAGCTCCGGAAAATCACCTACGACTTCCCCATCTCGCACGAGGAAGTCGTGCAGAAGTTCCGGGATGAGGTCAAGCGCGTCAGGGCCGAGGGGCTGAGGCCGAGGGTCGCGGTGTTTGAGACGGTGGTTAGTATGCCGGGCGTGAGGTTTCCGTTTGAGGCCGTTATCAACGTTTGTAGGGAGGAGGGCGTTTGGAGTGTTGTTGATGGCGCCCATGGCGTGGGTATGTTTGCTTTGGATTTGGGAAGCCTGGGCCCGGATTTTTGGGCGAGTAATTTGCATAAGTATGTCTTTTTTCTCTCTTTCTCTCTCTCTCTCTCTCTCTCTCTCTCTCTCTCTCTCTCTCTCTCTGGGGTTTGCGTTTTGTTTGGGATTGGGGGGGGGGGGCATTGCTGGTGGTATACACATACACTGGTATACTACGCTCTGGCTATACTTGCTATACCCCCCCCCCTCTCTCCAAAAAAAAAAAACCAACAACTCCTGATGGAAAATACTAAAAAGTAATAGATGGCTCTACACCCCCCGCGGCTCCTCAGTTCTCTACGTCTCGCCCTCCCACCAACACCTCATCCGGACCACCCTGCCCACATCCTGGGGCTACATCGCTCCTCCCCCGCCCAACACAACCTGCACCACCGTGTCCACATCAACAATGACCCCCTCCGTGCTGCCGCCGCAAAGCACCTTCGAAGCGCTCTTCGAATACGTCGCCACCGCCGACGACACGCCCTACCTGTGTGTTCCCGCGGCGCTCGCTTTCCGACGCGATGTCTGCGGCGGCGAGGAGGCGATCTATTCGTACCTGGAGAGTCTGGCGAATGACGCGGCGGAGATCGTGGCGGGGAGGCTGGGGACGGAGGTCCTGGGGGAGAAGGGGACGGGGTGGCGGAGGTGTGCGTTGACGAATGTGCGCTTGCCTGTGAGCGTTGTTGATCACTTTCCTGACGGGGTGGAGGGGTTGAGTCTGGAAGATAAGAAACAGGGCGAAGCTGAGGGCAAAAAGGATGAGGGTCGGAATACGGACTTCCCCATCCTTAAATCCCAAGTCAGCGAGATCGCCCGTCGTCTCCAGGAAACCATGATGCTGGAGTATAAGACCTTTGTGCCGGTTTACTCGCTCGGAGGGGCGCTGTGGGTCAGGCTGAGTGCCCAGGTGTATCTTGACAAGAGCGATTTCGAGTGGTTGGGGGTGTGTTGGTGGAGTTGATGGGGAGGTTGAGGGATGGGGAGTTTAGGGGGGAGACGGAGGCTAGATGAATGATTCTAATTCTAATTCTACATCTAGGGCTGGGAGGGGGGGTTGATTGGGATTGATTGGGATTGGGACAGAGGGCTGGCGGGATGAGGCAGTGAGTAGGGGGATATGGTTGTTATTATTGCTATTTTTGTTGGTATTTTTTTATATTATAGAGTATGTTAGGTCATGTCATTTGATGTTGTGTTTTGAATTGGGTTGCCTCTTGCTTTGGTAGACAGATTGTGTGTGGTGTGGTGTTTATGAGGGGGTGGGTGGACTGATCATTGTTTTGTATCTGGTATGGGTGTTGGTAAGCGGTGGTTGTGGAAGAGTGGAAGAGTGATTGAAAGATTAAGAGATAGGAAAGTAAAGGAAAAAGGTAGAAGATCAATGTGGTAAACACTAAACTGCCATACTCATTATCAGCCAAATCACGCTGAAGACATCCAGGTATTCTCAACTCAACTAGAATATAGTAGCAATATGAGCGACCAAGCTAGCAGGGCACTCTATAATCATCATTATCATCGTCATCATCATAACCTAATTCCCGCCTCCCAACCGACTGCGCACCCACCCCGTGATTCCGCCTCCCCCTCCCCCGCCCCCGCCCCGCCCTCCCCCCGACTGCTCCGCCGCGTCTCACGGCTCCCCCGCTCCGTCCCCTCCGTCCCCGCTCCCGCGCCCGCGCCCGCCCCGGCCCCCGACGGCGACGGCGACCACGGCGGCGACCACGAATGGGAGCTCCACGACGACGGCGACCGGGTCGGATTGGCGCTAGCTTCAGGGCCGCTGGGCCGTCGCGGAGACGGACTATCGACGACCACGGGATTCTCACTCGTGCCTTCGGGTCTGTCGCGCGTTAGTTCAAGGTCTCTCTGCCAGAGAAACAAAAAAAAAAAAAAAAAACCTACTGATCAATGCTCCGCCGACAGTGCGGACACGTATTATGCTGGTTCAGCCACAGCTCAATACACCCGTAATGGAACCAGTGCTTGCACGGCAGCACGGTCACCTCCGTGCCCAGCTCCACCGCATCCATGCAGATGGAGCACTCGGCGCGTCCCTCGCTGCCCAGCATCTCCTTGTCGACTTTCTTCTTCGGCAGCGACTGGATGGCTATGGGCGGCGCCGGCGGCGGCGCCCCTCGGGTGGCGTTCTGCTCGATCAGCTGCGAGATCACCCGGTCCAGCTCCTCCTGGGAGTAGACGGCGTCTCCGTGGCGATCAAAGTTGAGCAGCGTCGACAGCATGGCCAGGGGGTTGGGGCCCGTCATAACGCGCACGCCGCCGCCGGTCTGCGTGTTCGTACCGAAGTCCGACCGGAATAGCTCGAGGATGCTGCTCCTGTTAGTGTGGTCTGCCACGGGACGGGGTCTTCGCACTTACTCGCTCAGGGTGCGTAGCGGGTTGTTCACCGGCTGCGGCCCGTCGGCATCCCGCGGATGCAGCCCGGCGTCCTGCGAGCCGGGCGTGCGGCCCTCTGCGTCGAGGTCGAACTCGAACGATCCCAACGTGCGGCCGCGGTCGCGGTCCGGGGTGGGGTTCGACGAGGGGACCGACGTCGGTGGCCGGTTCTGCTGTCGGTAGGTGCTGGCTAGGCCATGGAAGATGCTATCCAGCCCCTGCACCATCGGCATCATCGGGTCGGTGGGCTGTCGAGCGGGGGGCGAGCGACCCCCGAAGCCGTGGGTGTAGGTGGTGGTTGAGAAAGTGAAGCGGCCGTCCGGGGAGCGATAGGTGCGGTGGGTGAATCCGGTTCCGTCTCCATTTCCATTTCCATTTCCAGTTCGACTTCCACTTCCACTTCCTCGTCTGCCTCCACTTGCATCGCCCCAGCCGTGGCCGAGGTCGTCGTCTTCCTGGTGTGCCCAGGGGTCGTGGTCGGCCCAGGGATTCGGGGAGCGAGCTGGCGGCTGGTGGGCGGAGGAGGGGGAGGGGGAGGGAGGCTCAGCATCGGGATCGGGGGGAATTTCGATCTGCGGCAGTTAGACAAGCAGGTAGGACAGAGTGGGACAGCAGGGCAGCAGGGCAGCGTACTATCTCGGTGAAGTCCGACTCGCAGTGCGGACAGATGAGGCCCTGGACGTCGCGTAGCCAGACGCCGCCACAGGCATGGCAGAACATGCGATCCCCCACGTCAGCCATGATGGGGGAAGCAGAGAGTGTCGGACGATCGGAGCAGATATCGATCAATCAGGCAGGCGGATCGGGTGGACAGAGCAGCTCAATGCAGCGTCATGGCTCATCGGGCACATTCATTCATGCGGGTTGCCGGGGGGTGTGGATAAATGGCGATTCGATTTGGAATTTGGGCGTGATGGCGAGAGAAAGCAGGAGAGATGGACACGAGAAGAGATGGGCGAAGGGAGGAAGAGGTAAGGCGAGGAAGTTGAGGGGCAGAAGAGGAGGAGAGATGGAGGGAAGTGGCATGCTGTGACGGACTGCTGGCGATCGGGATGACGTTAGCCGCCCCAATGGCAGTCACTCTACGATTAGTCTATTAGTCTACTTACCTCTACTAGTGAAGTCGTACAGGCCTATCCATGCCTCGTTATACACTTACACTCTCTTTATACTCCAGACAGACGCAATAATCAAATCCATAACTCATACAACCTGCGCATGGTCAGAACGCCTCATGCTAATCACCCAAACAGCCAACAGCCAACAGCTCAGCTAAGCCAGTATGTACATCTCCTCGTCTCTACCGTCTCTTTGCCCCCCGCATCACCAGCCCTCCCACCACGCCCGCGGCCAGCGCCAGTCCGCCCACGATGGCAATCCCTACCAGCCCCTCCTTGGACACCTTCTCATCGATCAGCTGCCCCAGACTGGACGCCTGCAGGTTGCCCGGCTCCTTGTCGCGCAGGAGGTCGTTGTAGCGGCGCGCCTCGCCGTAGTTGCCCAGCTTGTAGTTGCCCAGCGCCAGGTAGTACAGGCACTCGCGGCGTCGTTCGGGGGCCGCGCGGAAGATCTCGGACAGCAGGCGGACGCCTTCTTGTTGGTCGGGGCGGGCGTTGGATTTGATGAGGCCCTGGCCGGTTAGCAGGCGGACATGACAGAAGCAGAGAGCAGGAAACAGAGAAGCAGGAAGAAGACCAGCAAAGACATACCCAGGCGTAGTTGAACTTGGTCTGGATGCCTACATAGTCACCCTCTTTCTCGTACTGCGAGCGGAGGACCTGGAGCTCCGCTGGTTTGAGCGGGCTGGACCGTCAACAGGGGGTCCCGATGGGAGGGAGCAGATAGCAACTTACCTTTCAGCGTCTGCGGCGTCTGGGGAGGTTAGTGATATGATGACCAGACAGGGAGGGAGACCTACAAGGAAGATTCGAACCCATGGTGACGGTGGATGTCAAGCAGAGGCAGAGGGAGGAAGAGTCGAGTGACGGAGCTTCTGTCGTCACCCGCTGTGGCGGTGGTGGCGCTGTGGCGGTTGCTCCAACAACAGCAACATCAACATCCGGCCTGTAGATGTGCGACAAACACTGCCCTCGACACCACATCCACCCACAGCCACCACATTCAACATGCTGCTCGACGAGGACCCCGGAACAGTACGTCCAGCCACTCCCACAGCCTCAATCTTCCCCGCTAACCGACCAGCTCATCCACCACACGATCGGAAACTTCAACATCCACCCCGACAAACAAGCCGTCACCCGCATCAATGACTCGCTCGCCACGCTGCAGCAGTCGCGCGACCTGCGCACGCGCGAGGCCGAAGCCGCGCTGAGGAAGCTGTCGCGCCACCTCTCGGCCCAGGCAGCCCAGCACGAGGAGGACCTGGCGGCGCACGACGCAGGAAAACACGCGGCCGAGATCGTCGAGCTAGATACCAAGAAGTTCCGCATCGCTAAGGCGGCCACGGAGCTGGAGATCGAGAGCGAGCGGCTGGAAGGCGAGCTGGAGATGCTGAAGGAGCGGCTGGCCGATCTGGAGGCGCAGGGGGTGGAGGGCGACGAGTCGACGCGGCGCGAGCGCGAGATGGACGATGCGACGCTGTACGTGCGATACTTTTTACTTGACATGAGGCTTGAAATTTGCTAACAACTGTGGCACAACGGCAGTCTACGGCTCAAAATCTTCCGCTCACTTGGCATCGACATCGAGGCGGACGGGGCGGGCAACTTCAACAAGGCGGTCATCCGCAACAGCCGCAAGGGCGACGTGCATGTGGTCAATATCGATCCCAAATTCTCGCGATTTTTCTATTCGAATTACTTCTGGTCGACAATGCAGGGCTAGGATACATGATTAATGAGTTATGAATATGATTAGTGAATTTAATTGTACCGATTACACTTTTATTGTGCTCGTGTCTGTGCTTGTGTGGGTAGTCCCCGTAGCCAACGCCGTCCTGACGACCTGCATTTCTTCCTCGGTGAGTCCAGTCACCCGCCCATCGCGGGCAAACAGCAACGGCTTCTCCTCGGGGAACAGCCTCTCCACGACCTCGACCACCTCCTCGTATCGTTCCTCGCCCACCCCCCAGAGGGCAAACCACCGGTCCTGCGCCCGGAGCATGTCCCTTTCGACCTGGTCCATGCCAGGGACTTCGGTGCCATCCCAGGTCAACTTCACCTCTCCAGCATCACCATCCCCCTCCTCCCCATCCTCACCCCCCCTCTGACTCTGGTTCTGATTATAAAAAACCTGCACCCCCAACCCCCCCACCCCGAGCTCCTCGACCCTCGCATTCCACAAGACCTGCCTCAACACGCCCCTGTCTCAACCATACACCAAACCAACGGAAACGCACTCTTGGCCAACGCGCCCCGGACCCCCCTCGTCGCCTCGCGGGGACTAACCAGCACGCCCACCACGCTGCCACCACCACCACCACTACCACTGTATGTGTGTGTATGAGAGTGTGTGCGACTGCGCCACCCCACCGGCGCCTGCGCAAACGTGCCCTCGAGCTCACGCACCAGGTTCGGCCCCAGCTTGGTCTTCAGCGCTTTGCATTGCACGAGCACGCGCAGCGGGTGTTCGTGGGTGGGCAGGTGCCAGGTGCCGAGGAGGTCGGTGCCGGCGTCGGAGCGGCCGCCGGTGCGGTGCAGGAGGAGGGCGCAGTGGCGGAGGGTGGTCTGGATGGTGTACTCGTAGTGGGTGCCGATGTAGGTTGTGCTGGAGGGGGGGAGGGAGGTGCGGGCTGCGTGCGTGAGGAAGGTGGGGAGGGTGGTGTGGGTTGTGGAGGGGGCGAGGGAGCGGGGGAGTTTGAAGAGGCGGCGGGTTAGGGGTGCATTTATATTATGAGGAGTGTTGTTGGGGAGAGAAAGGGAGAGAGTGTATGCATGTATGTATGGAGTGGGTAGGGGATTTGTAGGGGAGAGTGTAGTAGAGGGTGGTGTTGTAACGAGTGGAGGGTATTTTGAAAGGAAGAGAAGAAGAAGAAGATGATGATGATGATGGCGGCGGAATCCTTATCAGATCGGTCCGATCAGCTCGGAGCTGAGCTTCTTTCTGCGCGTCTTCCGCTTCTTCCTCTTCCTTCACTTCCCCTTCTCACCACACCACACCACCACCGTCCATACGCAATCCTCATAACTCAATCAACCCCGCCCTCTAAGATTACAACCCTCGTTCTCCAAACTCTACTACCACCTAACCAACCCAACCCCAACCCCAACCCTGGGCGCCGCCCAGGAACAACCAACAGTCCATCAAAATGGCCGACATCCTCACCCAACTCCAAACCTGTCTCGACCAGGTACTTACTTACTCAATATCCTTCTCTTCCCTCCTTCCCCCTCCCCTCCCCCACCATCCTCATTTCCCAATCCCACAACCCCTTATCTCTAATACTCAATCCCTCTCCCCCTCCATTATCCCATCTCCCCAAACCCCCCCCCCCACCCCCCAACCCACCATTAACTAACCCCCATCTTTCCAACAACCCAGCTAGCAACCCAATTCTACTCCACACTCAGCTACCTAACAACCTACCACGACAACATCCCCGCACACCCGATCAACACGCACCCACCACACCCACAAACCCCCACACAACACTCAGTCCACCCCCCAACTCAAAACCCATCCGCTCGCCCCTCCCCCCCCTCTCCAAGATCCCCAAGAATTCGTCCACGCCGCCCGTTCCAGCTGGTCTACCGCAGGCCTCATCTCAACCTGCGCAGGCTTCGCCGCCGCCACCGCCGCCACCGGCTGCTGGGGAAACACAAGCAGATGGACAAGGAGCAGCAGCAGCAGCAGCAGGAACAGGGGGGGATGGAAACGAGGGCCCCCCCGCACCAGACACACCCCGGACCTTCGCGGCCCGACAGCGCGAACTCGCCCGTGACCTGGTGATCAAGGAGCAGCAGATCGAGTACCTGGTTTCTGTGTTGCCCGGGATCGGATCCAGTGAGGAGCAGCAGGAGCGCAGGATTAGGGAGTTGGAGGGGGAGCTGAGGGGGGTGGAGGCGGTTAGGGAGCAGAGGGTTAGGGAGTTGGCGGGGTTGAGGAGGAGGTTGGAGGCTGTTCTTGGGGGGGTGGAGAGGGGATTTTTGGGGATAGGGGGTAATTTACTTTCTCTCTTTCCTTCTTTCTTTCTCTCTTTTTTTGGGGGGCGGGGGAGCAGGACTGGTTTCGGTGGAGGTTGACTGGCTAGGTGAAGATGAAGATGGAGATGAAGACGAAGATGAAGGAATGATCTACGAGGTCCTTATCTGGAGACTACTCATAAAACAGTCTAGAGTTGATATGCAGGTACAGGAATATCATGACTTGGGTTGTCTTATGCTTCAGTTGTTTGTATGCTTCAGCTATGTGATATGCTCAGCTAACCGTAATGCATCAGCTGTACATGATGTGATGCTCAGCTATGCGTGATCCATAATATGATATGCCAGCTATGTTCCATAAATGCGAGCTCTGCCAGCTGCCAGCCATGCCAGCGCATAAATCCCGATCTAAACCACCTATACTCTATACCATCCATCCATAGATCATGCCAATGAAAACGAGATGAAACCAACCAACGCCTGGGTATCAAAAGCACCTCCTTCCATTTCCTTCCCTTCTTATCCCGTCCCGTCCCATCTTCCTGTCCTTCCCTTCCGTTCCCCCCCTTCTATTCTCCTGACCAACCCCGATATTTCATTCAAGTAACCATCTACTTGAACAACCCCCTATACTCCCTCATCCTCTGCTCTTGAACCTCCCTCTTATCCAACTTGCCGCGGTTGAGACTCAAATCCGCGAGCTGCTGCTTCTTCTTGGCCAACTCGAAGATCTTCTCCTCAATACTCCCCCGCATAATATACTGCACGGTGGTCACCTCCCTGGTCTGCCCGATGCGATGCACGCGGTCGATGGCCTGCGCCACCGCAGCTGGATTATACTGCGGCTCCATGATATACACACGGGACGCGGATGTGAGATTCAGCCCGACACCGCCGGCGCCGATGGTCGCAAGCAGGACGGTGATGTCGTCGTTGCGGTGGAATTCGTCCAGCGCTTTGTGGCGCGCGGCGAGGGTCATGGTGCCGTCCAGCCGGGTGAAGCCGGGCAGGTGGTTGTCGCGGAGGGCGATCTCGATCAGATCGAGGTGGGAAGTCCAAGCGGAGAAGACGACAGATTTGATGGGGGGGCCGGAGTGCGATTTGCTTTCCTCGGCGGCGTCGAGGAGTTGCGAGATCAGGGCGCGGGTCTTGGTGTGGGGACCTTCATATTCGCCGAGGGTTTTGGCGTGGCGTCGGCTTTGTTTGGCGTGCGCTTGGTCGACCACGTAGTCTTGTAGGCCGCCGGTAGTGATGGTGGAGTAAGAGGCAGGGATCCAGCCGTCGCAGACTTGGCATTTGATGTCGTGGGATGGACCGGGGCTGTCGAAGGCTTGTTTCCAGCTGGAGAAGCAGTCTGGGCAGAGGACGTCGAAGCAGGGGAGGACGATGGCCATGGGGTTTGTTCGGTCGGTGGTGCCGTTGTCGGAGGATGGCTCTTCGAGGCGCTTTTCGCATAAGGCGCAGGAGTCTGCGGATGACTCTTGCATGAGGATGAACATCTCGTAGGCTTTCTTGTCGGTTGCCCCGGAGTCGCCCCCGCCTTCTTCTAGATCGATCGCGTCGTGCACGCTCATCCCCTTGATGCGCTTGCGGTCGTCCGGCTCGAGGAGCTCCTTGCCGTGCGCGCTGATCTGCCGGAGGATCATCATCGCTTTCAGGATGTGGTGGTACATCCGACCTTTCATCTTGGACTTCTCCTCGCCGGCGATCACCCGCATCATCACGTTGGACTCCTTCCGGAAGAACTCGTGCAGCTGGCTCTCTTTCTCCGTGAATGTGAGCATGATGATCTTGTCCTGTCGCGCAGGCAGATCGATCTTGTCTTTCACCCGGCGGAGCGTGAACGAGTCGACGAGCACGCGGAGGCTGGCTAGAACTGAGGCGTCCCCGGTTTTGAACCGACTGAGGATGTGCATCCCGAATCGCCCGCGGTCGTCGTATGGGAAGAGTCCGAGGAACTTGGTCACGGAGAGGAGGTCGTCCAGCCGGTTCTGGATCGGCGTGCCCGTGACGGACCATCGACGCTGTGAGTTCAGCTTGAAGATGGCCTGTGTCTGCGCCGCGCTCTGCTCGCGGATCGTGTGCGCCTCGTCGAGGACAATCCGGAACATGTTCATCTTGGTCAGCACGCTGACGCCGCGTTTCGCCCCCCGCCCGGATAATTCGCTGAGGATGATACTGTAGGTTGTGACCACCAAGTCGTATTGGGACAGTTCATCCACGTCGTTGGTGCGCGACGAGCCGTGGAAGACGTAGTATGAGATGGCATCTTCCTGGAGATGCTCCTTGATCTGGCCGACCCAGTTGTTGACCGCGCTGAGGGGCGCCACCAGCAGCGTTGTCTTCGTGTTGCGAATGCCCGGCAGGCTGCGCACCAGATCCGGGTCGGGGATCATGTCCGCCCACAGACGCGCATCGTCCAGCGAGGACACGACCAGCGACAGGATGCTCAAGGTCTTGCCCAGACCCATCATATCGGCCAACAGTCCGCCCAGACTCTGCGGTGGCTCTTCGTCAAGCACCGTGCCACTGATGATCTCGCGGTAGCGTCTTTTGCCATTGGTATGGGAGTCCATCCGCCACAAAGAGTTATTATCTGCCTCGTTGGTCCCGAACTTGCGCGGCTTCTCCTTCTCCGTCATGAACCACAGCGCCTGCTTCTGGTGGCGAAGCAGCGGAGTGGTCAGGCCAGAAGGAGGCTCCATCTCCGGTAGGTTGTCTGCACTCTGGAGCTGGTCGAACATCTTCATCACCGCATCGTTGACTTCTTCTGCCGTCCGCACTTCATAGTTAACCCCTATCCTCCCCCTCGCAGCCACTGCCGGCAGGAACGCCGTCTGAGCCCGTCGCCTCTCCGCGTGGGGATTGAGCACCGGCACGCCCTGCTCCACGGAGAACGGCGACCCCAACCACACATTGTTCTGCCCGAGGTGCTTCCCGACACGTTCCGCGTCCTTCCGCAGGCCGTACAGGTTGACCGACGCCCGGTAGGCATGCGAGCACGGCGCCCAGGGCCACTCGTCATCCTGTCGTTTCCGGACATCCAACCGAACTGTAATACTCACCCGCAACACCGGCGAGTCGAGCAGCGGGACGATCACTGCGGCTGTCTTCCCATCGACGACCCCGAATATCTTTCCATGGGGATCTGACACCTCGATCCGGGTGTTCTGGCCCGCCCGTCGGTGCACCCCGAGCTTGATGGAAGGCCAGTCGTGCGTCGAGTCGCCGAAGATCGTCTGCGCAGACGGCTTCGGGACCAAGGAGGCGTGGATCATAGCATTGTCGATCTTTCCGTAACACACCTTCTGTAGACTGAGGTTGTTCGACCCGGTGACCTGCACCTCGTCGTCATCGGTGGCGGCTGCCGACACATCTGCACCCGTTAGCCCGTGGTTCCACCCGCAAGGCCATGATCCTACCAGTAGTCAAATCGACAATGTCATGCACGGCAGGCGAATCCGACTTGGAACGGTCCTTCATCCATTCCCCCAGCCCGGTATTGCCCGCGCCGGCGAACTTCCTCGCGGTCGCGGGCTTCTGATCTTCGCCCTCGAGCTTTATCTTCTTGTAGGGTTGATGCGCGCGCTCCTCGACCCCGAACATGTTCTCGAGGAGGCTGCCATGGCGCACGTCGTCGAGCTGCTCGGAACCCCGCTTCCCATCGCGTCGGTCCTCGAACTGCGCACTCGTAAACTCGACATCGAGCGAACTGCCGTCGTGCTGGGGCGACGAGCTGGCGGTGTCCGGGGCGATGGAGGAACGGGTGGACTGGGACTGCGACTGCGACCTCGACTGGGCCTTGGGGCTGGCTTTCTGCGGGGGCTGGCGACGTCGCGGGCTGAGGAGACGGTGGGCGGCTGCGGCGGTGCCGGCGGGGGCGGCGGACGGGGAGGAATCCTGCTGGGCGGGACCTGGGATGGGGATACGTGAGTGTTCCGTGTCTGAGCCGGTCGGGTCATCGGGAGGGGAAGGGTCGCGCAGGGCGGAGGGGAAAAAGCAGAGGGGATCAGGATCACCGCGATCATCCTGGTCCTGACCCTCCTGATCTTGGGGTCCATCGGGCAAGGCGCTGAGAGGGTCCCACTGCGATGTGGGTTCCGGGGAATTACCATTGTCCTGCAGTCGCTGTTTCTTGTAGCCCCGCGGGTCCAGGAGCATGGCGGCGTGTGAGGCCATGCTTGCGTCGAGGCCGGATGCAGGTGGCCGCAACACCTGGCGAGCTGTGGCTGGCGTAAACAAGACGAATCAAGGGCGAGAGAAGCGATGACCAAGGAAAGGGAGGCACATCTAGCAGGTGGAGGTGGAGGTGGAGGTGGAGAGATCGGGTCGGGGTCTCGAACGAGGGCGTGCGTGCGTCGGTGCGGGCGGCGGGTGTTCAAGTGGAGGCGGAGTCGAGGCAGCGAGGCAGTTGAGCGGGAGGATGGGCTCAGATCTCCTCCATGGTATGGTGGAGAGGGTGAGGGAGAGGGGAAGGGAGGAGAGGGAGAGATGATGGGGAGTTGAAGATGAGATGAGGAGAGGGAGAGAGAGAAGCAGCCGAGAGATAAGATCGCGGACGTCACAGCATCATCCACTCTCCACTTACACTGTCCTGTGTCCTATACTCGGGAGGTACCAAGTACATAAAAGATAATCTATGGATGTCTTCGATGTATGTCCTCAGGTACAAAGATCGATCGATTATCTGCAGATCCAGTAGTGAGGCGAAAGTCACGAGTCCAGTCACGAGTCAGTGAGGCTCTCTCTTTGGTGTGCAGTGCTCCGTAGGATCTACTCGTAGTACTCGTAGTTCTCGTCATCCTCGGTCCACTGCCATATCCAAGTAGAGGGTCGCATCGTCTTGATTTATTAGCAGGCACAAAACTATATACTAGCGCATTATGTATAGTGTATCCTCGAAGATCAACTTCCATTTCTATGACCTAACCCATCCAAAATTTTCCAGCAGGGCCACACCCTGCACAAGAACTCCGCATGCCAGGTTATCATGATACACGCTAAATGATGAAGAAGAGAAAGGAACGGACGGACGCAAGAGCAAGCCGACATGCTCGTACGACGTAGAGAAAGACCCCCGGTTAACACCAGGTAAACACGGGATTCTTGCTCTTCACGGCCTCCAGTCGCTCGACGATCACCTTGCGCTGGTTGCCTTCCATCCCCTCGGCCGCCGCGTATCCGAGATCGCCCTCAAGGTCGTCGCTGCTGAAGATCAGATGCGCCTGTCCCCGCGCGCTCGACAGCGAGCTGTGCTTCTGGTGCCGGCCCGGCCGCGGCGGCAACGTCGCCCAGCTCCGGTCCAGGCGCCCGTGGCTCACGTCGTCGAAGCTATCGCGGCCGTACCGATAGTCGCCCATCGTGGCCGGGCTACCGGACTGCGCCCTCGCGTGTCCCGACGAGGACCCGCGCCCGCGCGACAGCTCGAACCGATTCGGGTTGGGCAGTTCGTTCGGGGGCGAGTGCAGCCCCAGCAGGTCCACGTCGGGCCCGGTGCCCAGCGACATGGCCGCCCCGATGTCCATCTCCTCGTTGTCCGGATCGTAACGGGCGTGTTTGTCGTAATGTTCGTAGCTCTTCACCTTGCGTTTTTGCGCATCGGTCGACGGCCCGCGCAGGGGGATGGCCACCGGCACGTCCACCAGGTCGTCCCACACGCACACCCGCGTCCGGCGCGTCAGCTCCAGCGGGCCATGGTCCGCATGCTTCAGCGTCTCGACCACGTTCCACGCCTGGCCCTTCATGACCGCAATCTGCCGCGCAAACATGCTCTCCTTGAAGTCCGAGTCTTGCGAGAACACCCGCCGGAGCGCCATCTGCGTGCCGCTCCACCACGCGGACGAGGTCAGGAGCGGCAGGAAGTGGTCGCGGGTTTTCTGCGAGAACGGCTGGCCGATGAGGGAGACGGGCAGGAACAGCCAGCCGAAGGGGAAGCTTCGCCACTGGGGAGGGGATTAGTAGACATTCTCTAGACATTCTCTTTCGCAATTGCGAGGCACTTACCGCATCAGGATGCTTCCACGGCCACGATAAACTGTTGTCGATGGCGCCGATCTGGATGGATGCCTGGGGCTCAGTCGCGTTCAAAGGGGTCCCCGTGCGACTGACGGCCACCATCTCGTGTCGGCGGTACGGGCGGGCGGCGGTCGGCGTACCGTTCGAGTTGACTGACACTGGGCGCGCAGGCGGCATGTCCTCATCGTCCTCCGGCCGAGGGGCCTCATTTGGCTTGGGCGGGTCCGCGACGATGGACACTTCCTCCGTGTTCCAGTCGATCTTGATCATCCAGTTGTCCAGGCCACGGTCCGTGTTCCGCATGATGTAGTCGAGGATCACGAGCTTCTCCAGTTCTTCCCGGAACGACTGCTTCAGCGCCTCCGTCCAGTAGAACCGCCGTTCCCGGGCCTCCTCCCGGGGCGACGGGGTGCGGGCCTGACCGTTATCTTCCTCTTCATCTTCGTCTTCGGATTGGACGCCCGAGGGCCGACACGACTCGCTCCACGGCCGCTTCTTGCGCTTCGGGGCGTCCTCGGCCCGGAAGCCGGTGTTGGTCTGATCCGGCCAGGGGTGGTCGCGCAGAAACAGGTTCGCGTCCTTGTAGCCCTTCAGAAAGACCTGGAAGCTGCCCGCCTTGTGGGGGAGCGGCCGCTTGTGCATCCACGCCTTTCTGCGGTCCCAGAAGTCGTAGAAGAACGACTTGGACGACAGCCAGACAATATCGGTGTAGGGGACGAGATTGGTGCGCAGGCGCGAGTCGAGCACGTAGGCAGCGGCCTCCGAGACGTAGGACAGGTTGGGGATCAGGCACGCCCGTCCGAAAAAGCAGGGGAACAGGTTGCGATGGATCCATTTGGTCCATTTGGGGTTCCGCGAGGCATACGGCTCTTCGTCCTTGGGCTTGAAGACGCCCACCACTTTCCCGTCGCCATTGCGGGCAAAGTAACTGCCGGAGCTGCCCTGGGAGATCATCCGCGGGTGGACGCCCAGCTCAATAGCCACCCGGACACTCTCCACGACCTCCTCGAACTCGTCTCGGGCCCTGCGCGCGGCTCCCTCGACCTCGTCCGACTCGAGCTCCTCGGCGGTGATCGGGTGGACGCCGTCGGGGGCCTGAAAAACGGAGTGGTAGATCTCCAGCTTCTCCTCCTCGAGGGTCTTGCCCTTGACGCGGTTGATCTTGAACTTGGAGGCGATCTCCTCGGCCCACCGCTCGAGGCGCGCGTTGATGGCCTTGATGTCCACGCCGGAATTCCTCCGCCCTCGGCGATATTGTCCACTGTGTCTGCGTCGAGGCTCGGGCGGCGAGGACAGGCCGGCGGCCTGCATCTGGGCTCGGGAGGAGATGGGGGCATATCGGGGGGCGGACTGGGATATCGTGGCGGAGGCTTGCTGCAGGTCCTCGTCGTCTGAATAATCGTACAGGTCATTGGTGCGTTCTTCCTCCTCCTGGGCCAACCGGGCGTAGCCCGATGTTGCGGGTCGGTTCTTGGGCATTATGAATGGGAATCGGGAGTGGGGGTGAGAATGGGAAATCTATAGGTCTTGGAAACGGCAAATCGGGAGGCAACCAGCACTGGAATTATAGGAATTAACGGAGCATGAATGGGAGGAGAAAGGGCGTGACAAGACTCAAGCCATATCCGACCACGACGGAGCAGAGAGAAAGAGTCGTAGTCCCCGACAGGTAAAGTGGGGAGGGCGAGGGAGGGAGAGGAGGAGAGGGCGAGGGAGAGGGAGGAGAGAGTTGGAGTTGGGAGGTGAGGGTTGTGGTGCCGTTACAGCGCCGCTGTCATCTTGAAGAAGGCCAACACGGCAGTGGCTGCTGCTGCATTCACTAGGCAGTAGTAGCACTCCGTACATCGACCGGCTTTACCGTGACCGTACCGCCAAGCCGCCTCTCGACCGGGCCAGATTGGCAGAGGATGGCGGTCAGGGTCCGGAGCGGCCACTGTCCCGTACCGTACGGTACGGCACCGCCACGGATGGCCGTATCTGGCCGTATCGCCGTCTGGGTCCACCGGAGCTTCAGAGCCCCTGAATGTGGCCTGCGATGATGATCAGAAATGGCACGAGAAGCGTTTGCTGGGTCTGAATGGATCCGGTGGCAGGCGCCGGACCAAGGCTGCTGCTACCCGGTCGACTCTATCAGACTATCGCACTATCTACGGGGCACGGGGCCATCGGGCAATGACCTTGAAGTCGACTCCCCCGTGTGGTTTCTTCCGCCCTACACGGGAGGACAGGACGTTTCTACTAATAGCAACTGACTGGACCCTTCTTCCCTCTTCGTAAATAACGATAATCGTCCAGCTCGTCAGCGGCGTCATGATTGAACCGTGCAGGGTCGGAAAGCGGTTTCATCCAGTGCCTCCAGTCCCCAGGGCCCACGCGTCCCCGGCATCGTGGCCGGAGATAGGGTTCGTCCTCGATCATAATAGGATTGTGCCCGCAATCTAAGACACGATCACGATCACAATCGTTGAGGCGACGGCACCGAGTGCAGTGCAGTAACACGATGTATTCCCGACAGACCCGTCCATCGGGGCCACAGGCAGGGTCTGAATGCGCGCCAATCATTTCGGAAGGGTGGGATGCGATCATCCTGAGCAGCATCCAACCCAACCCCATCCCAACCCCAACCCCGTGATGATGCGATACCCCCAGCGCTAGCGATCCAGGCGTCCAGACCATGGGAGGGCTAAATGAAACCAATGGAGGGCGCAATCAAAGCCGGAGAGCCATCCCAGCCTGGTGCGAAAGGGGCATGCAGGGGCGCGACAACAACATTGCGAGGATTCATTCCAGGCCTCGGCGACACACATACTATTAGATAGGCGCATAAACCAAAAAAAAAAAACCGCTCGGGCAGGTAGGGTAGAGAAGAGAAGAGTGAATATGAAGGAGAAGCGATAAGGGCATTCTCAGGACTGATTTCTATCCACGACCCGGACCAGCCAAGATTTCGATAAATAATCGATAGCCTCCGGAGACACGCGATAGCAGCCCCGATAATCTATCAACCCTCCATCTTCTTCCTTCTCTTCCTCTCGGCCATCTGCTCTCCTGCTCTTCTCTTTTGGCTCACTTCACTGCTCCCCCCTCCACCCCCCTATCCCCTCAATTAGTTTCCCTCCTCTTCCTTTTTGTCGCTCTTTCCACTGTCGTCCCTCGGATCGACTCGCGTCCTATCTCGCTGACACCCTCATCGAGATCTTTCGCTCCTTCCACTCGGCCCCTGGAGTCCATTGACCCGACAAAAGCGACCCTCAAAACAAAGAAAGCAAAAGCAAAAAAAAAGACAAAATTAAAATAAAATAAAAAAGGTTCGAGCGAAAGACTAACGAGCGTTGGATCTTCACTGGTGCAAAAGAACCAGACGGCATTCCATCTCATTCCTCCCTTTTTTACGTGGCTGGTCCTCTTCCCAACGGCACGAACCTGTCCTCCCTCAGCGTCGTGTACCACTCCCGGAAACGACGGCATCCTCGTCCTTGAACCCCTTCGATTCGGTCAACTGGGGCCGGATTTTTAGCTCGTTCCTCCCGACAACCTCCACGGTGGCTTCACTCCTCTTCCGGGCGTCGCCCATCGACCCAGCCCTCCGTCCGCCGTCGCCCTCCAACGCGCCGGCCCAGGAGCCCACCTACAAGCACACCTCGTCGTCCGTTGACAGCCAGTCGGGATCGCGTCAGTCGACGTCGGACGCTGCCGCGGGGGCCTCGTCGGCATCGTCGCAGTACTCGAGCACGCTTGCGGAGTCGAGTGCGCTGGATAAATACAACCACAGTCCCGGCAGCAGCAACGGCAGCAGCGCCTTCCCCAGCTCGTTGGGGCCGTCTCTGCCTGGACTCTCTGCCCTGGCCTCGGTCGCGTCGGCGCCCACTTCCAACCTGCGGTATGTGCCTGGCAGATCTTGCAGATCCGGTGTGGTGGAGGGACGGAACAGACCGGGGATGATGGGAGTCACGAGAGAATCTTGTGCAGCCCGTTATCACTAGGGATTGTCTACATGTTTATCTGTTCTTGCTGACGTCTTACGTGTGCAGAGCCTCGAGTAGCAATGCGCAGCCCAGCATGGCCAATATGACATACGCGACATCGTCTCCGGCTGCCACGACGGGTGGACAAGGCAATAACCCTGTAAGTGCTAAGGACTACTGTGTGCTGGGGATGAGCTTATCGTCGGGGGAGGGGAAGGTGGATGGGCGAGAGAGAAGAAGAATTCTGCTTGTTATCAGCCGCCGGTGGTGGCCTTGGCGCCGCACGACGTGCGCCTTATCGCTGGCCGCCCATCAAATCTCTCCCGATCTTATCACCCCCCAGCGCTCTTTCCCTCCCTCACTATCAGCCCAGCCCCATTCCTCCCATCTTCCTCCTCCCCCCTCTGCCTCCTTCGCATGATTCCCCTCCTCCCCACACCATGGCGACCACGATAACTGATCAGAAACGTCCCCAATTACAGCCCGTCTGCCAGAATTGCGGCACCTCCACCACGCCTCTCTGGCGCAGGGACGAACTCGGCTCCGTCCTCTGCAACGCCTGTGGCTTGTTCCTGAAACTACATGGGAGGCCCCGTCCGATAAGCCTCAAGACCGATGTTATCAAGAGTCGCAACCGCGTCAAGACCGCTGGTCAGGGCCCCAAGCGGAAGGTGAGCCCTCGCCCCCGAAAATTTTTCCTGTCCTCGATCGCTGCCCGGGTGAGATCCGGGTGAGAGATAACGGTCGCTAACGTGTGCCTCACACTTGATCAGTCCGGCGGTGCGATCGATACAAATGGCATGTCCGCCTCGAGGTCAGAAGCCGGGACTCCGCCGCTGGGGTCGCATGGATACCGTCGCGCGTCGCGGAAGACGTCACCGGGCCATTCCGACCGATCCAACTCGCCGGTTTCCCGGACGGAAACGCCTGGCCTCCCCCCGATGCAACAACCACACCTCCCCCCGCAACACAATTCGAATATCGCGCCCCAGCACATGTTCGACAGCGTCACGATCGGGGACCACGGGCTGAATGCGCCGAGCTCGCTCCCCTCGGTGCAGCCTCGGCAGCCGTCGCCCACGTCGACGTCGGCGGCGGTGGACCGCCATCTCGAGTCCCCACAGACATACGAGGGCCTGCTGGCGGCCAACACATCGCTGAAGACGCGGGTGAGCGAGCTAGAGTTCATCAACGAGCTCTTCCGGGGGCGGGTCACGGAGCTCGAGCAGAGCGGCGCGACCGCGCGGCGGTCCGAGATGATCGTGCGTGACTCGGAGGTCCGTCTGCGGCGGTCCCTGGAAGATGCCCAACGGCGTGAGGACGATCTCAAGCGGCGCGTGTCGGAGCTGGAGCGGCAGCTGGCGGAGCAGCCCGGCCACAGCCACGGCGCGGGCACTGACAGCCCGGGCGAGCCGCTGGCCAAGCGGATGCGACTGTCTGACGTGGTAGAGCAGGCCGAGCAGCCGTCGGTGTCGCCGACGAAATCGCCCCGGAGCGTCTAAGCGTCGAGGGAGCGTCGGGGCCTAGATAGGCGCGTTCGTAAACAAGGCGCAGCCGCGTGCGTGCTGAGTTCTCAGTTCACCGATCTTCCCCGGTCTCTTTGATACCCTACGAGTTTTGTCATTGGCTGGCTGTACATCGGATACCTAATATACTCTCACTCTCCATCTTCCTCTTCTCCCTCCCTCCCTCTCTCCCTCCCTCTCGTGCCTCCTCCCTCCACCTCCGATGAGACCAGCCCCTCGCAAACCAGAAAAGCAAAAGGACCTGTAAAGGGCTACTCGTGTTTAGTAATTCGTGTTTATTATTCCCGTGAATCTACTTGCTTTTGATCTAGCCGGTTTCTTAATTTGCAACCATCAATCATCAATCTACCTTTCATCCGATCCTATCTTCATCATACATGCAAGCGATAAGGACAGAGCAGAATAAGGTAGAAAGAATGTTGCTACTAGCAGGGAAGGGGTAGTCCCGTCCGTCCAGCCCTGCCCTGCCCTGCCCTGCCTTGCTTACTCTGCTTACTCTGCCTATCCTAGCAAGTTACGGAGTAGTGTGAGTTAGATACCCAAGAGTCCTACTAGCAGGTATTAGTAGTAGGTAGTGGTAACCCAACCACCCGTCAACCCGAATCCGAACACCCTTATCATATCACATCCTATCATATCGTGTCCTATCCTATCAGCCCGCCCTTATCAAGCATGCATGTTTATCAATGTTCAAGTTCATGTTTGTTTGCCTCGTCATCGGGGTTCATTCGCACCTCACATCCCCCCCATTGAATCTCACCTCATCGTCTACCCTCATTGGTGGCCTTGTTTTCTTTGGGGTCACTGCCCTCTTTTTTTACCTCGGGTTTGCGGCGTCGACTAACCGATGATGTTCCGTAGCTGTGATTCTATCTACTTCGGATTGGTTGCTGACTCCGGGTTTCCGACGGTCTGTTGTTGCTGTTGTTTTTGGGGAGTGGGGGCTGGATGGATGTTATCTAGACCATGTATATATGTTTGGGGGAGACCCTAGATAAATACTGTTTTCCCCGCTTGAGATGAGGTGCGTGCTGGGTTTGTTGACCCATTCTGGGTTCGTTTTAGAGTGAACCCTACTTACTTACCTACTTCGTACTTTACCTTTACTCGGTTATCTGTTTACTACCGAGGCACTTAGGTAGGTAGGTAGGTGCTTGCTTGTTATCTCTATCCTCTTTTTTTTTTCAACTTTGGAGGTTCTGTACTAGACTATGTATATGGGTAGGTGCCTTTCCTTGATTACGAAATGTAGATCAGCAGGGGTGCTGAAACGATCGAGTGTCTGTCTCTTCTACTATCTATCTAGTAGACTGTCCAAGTCATGTCTACGTATCTATCTATCTGATTATGCATGCTTACCTCACCTCACCTCATTATCCTTAGCTTTACCTACTATGGATCTATCACCACACACACTGAAACACACGCGTACTGTATTAATGATATATCGCATCGCGGACGAAGTACTATGAACTGGACCAGCCTGATCGAGGAAGTCCTGCGATCACCTCCAAAGTCCTCGGAGAATTGCTGAGACTGCACAGATATTAGACAGCCTGTGACCGACCGATCAAAACATGGAAGATGAGAGGCTAACAGACACAAGCACACCCCAGTTCTTTATTCATCGATATAGGCTTTTTGTTATGAGAATGCAGACCGAAAATATTCGACTACTTGACGATAGGGTTGTAACTCCCAATTTGATACATCAATAAACCATAGTACCATCTATAATGAGAAACGAGCGGTCTAGCTGGACTACAGGGTCCAGTTCCCTTCTTCGGCTGCAAGCATCCCCAGATACCACATGCCCATCAGTACAGTGAGTTGACCATGGCCTCCGGCTGTCCAGGGGATAGCCACAGAGACGGCTAGACGGCCGTTTCTATCGAGACGTTTGACTGCAACCAACTCGGTGTTGGTAAGTACAAAGCCATGTCGCGCGTTGTGCTGGTCCATATAGAATTTCACCTGCGACAAGACCTGTTTGTATTGGTCTTGGACGGCGGGGATCGGCGAATGCCGGAAGTCAGAACGCCATTTCCACGAGACCTTGATGTCTCCTGGGGCTCGGTTCGTGCTGTCGGCGTAGGTGCCCCCGAGGATAACGAAGGCAGTATCTGGTCGAAACTGGTCGATGAACGCTGCCGACCCTCCGCCGTCAAATGTGATAGGCACAAGGCTGAGTTGCTGAAGCCGGGGTGCGAGCTCCTCGAACCCAGCTCGAAGTGCGCGCCTGACGCGGGGTAGAAGCAGCTCGGCAAATCGAAGATGAAAGTGAGGTTCATCCCTGATGGCAGCAGGAGGAGATCTGAAGGGGTCGGATGCGATTTGCTTTGCATTCAAAATGCCGCCGTATCGTTGGATGATCGTCGCATAGCTGAACTCTGCCCAATCAACAACCTGAGTAATATCTGCGGCACCATAGCGGGGATTCGTTGTATTCCGCGATGGGGCTACACCCTGAAGAGGGATTGTCGGGAGGGCAATAGAGAGATACTGCAGAAGGGACTGGTTGTTCATGTTGTGATGGTACGGTACCACGCCCAATGATTATTTATAGCTTAAGAGTAATTGCTGCAAATGATGAGTACTCCCTTTGGTAACCAATAGTCGAGATGGGCAAAAAGAATATAGATGGAGAAATGATATGGAAGATTTGGGAAAAGACTCACACTTAAATACATGGTGTGAGTCCTTTTCCAGGACCGCCCGGATATCTGATGGGGAAGCCATGGCGAGATTTTGGATATAATTGATTGGGTGTGATGGCATTATACTAAGCGCTCTCCCTTCGAGTACATCTCGTGGCACGGACAGAGTGAAAGAAAGCGGTTACTGAAACCCCGAGCAAACTTTGGAAATAGGGAATGTGGTGGATCTAGTGGTTCAAGAGGTCTTGACAGCAAGCGGTTGCTGAAACCCTGGATCATATCCGAGCGTTAGTAGCTTATATAATCAGGCTATTATTAACCCGGGGACTCCGTCCGTCCGTCCGTCCTCCTCCTTGATCGAAACAGAACTCCCAACAGGACAACCATGCATCCAAGAAGCGCGCCCTTAGCGGGCATTGACCCCTCCAGAATCTCGATTATTCAGGAGATTGCGCGCTCCGACGCGTCATCGATATTTGAAGTAGACCTGGAGGGACAAACGTATGCATTGAAGCTTTTCCACGACAACGGCGACCCAGGGTACACAGAGAAAGGCCGTGATCTAAACCGCTTCCGCTGCGAAAGCAACGCATACAAGAAACTCCTCGCTTCCGGTGTGTGTGAGAGCAGCCTGGTTCCCAAATGTTACGGCTTTATCCACCGAGTGGATCCGGCTGCATTCCATAATCATCATCATCCCGGACTCCAACATTTCGCTCACGATAAGTTCCACCCCAGCGCAATACTGCTAGAATATCTCCCCAATGCGGAGCCTTTAAACTGCGTGAATTACAATCAGGCGCTGTATCCCCAGGCAATCGAGGGGATGGAGGCGATTCATAGCGCCGGGGTGTTGCATTGGGATATTTATCCGAGGAATCTTTTGCTTGTGAGGGGGGGTGGAGGTGGAGGTGGAAGTGGGAATGGAAGTGGGAATGGAAGTGGGAATGGAAACGATAGGCTGGTCTGGATGGACTTTGATGTTGCGACTACTTTCTCTGAGCTCGGTCCGGAGGAGAGAGCGCGCTGTGAGCATGAAATTGCGCTGGTGAAGAGTTTCGGGGATCTGTTGGTAAGATGCCTCCCCTTTCTGATGTGGGCGATGTTGATGTGGAGTGGAACGGAATGGATGGAAATGTCTGATATTGCTATCTGACTGGCTGATGAATGAATGCAGAGAGAAGACCAGGCCGAGGGACTGCCCCCGAATACAAAGTTTTATTGATCGAGGGCTCCACATGCTTCCATCTAATGATTCTGGCAATGGCTGATGGCGTTTACGTGGTCTGGGAATAGCGATGGGTTGGGGGTCATGCGGAGTCTCGAGAGCAAGGGTTTCACTTCTTCCTTCGAGATAGAATTAATAATGGAATACCCGCAGTTCTTTTATCCTCGAGAGTTGCTCTCGAGGCCAATTGGATCATGTCTTAGGTACTACTACTTACTATCCTCGTCTTCCAGAGATTCTCGCCGTTGGGTGTCTACTGTTGTCTGTCACCTTTATTGTGTACCCAGGACCATCTTTCTTGTATCGTTTTCCTACTATACCGGCATGTCTGGTGTTTCCTGTTCCATTCCTAGACCTTTCAGATATTTGCCGCTCGGTTCAGTTGTTTCCGTTGTTGTTGTTTTTGTTATTATTATCAAGAAAGGGCATTCGGTGTCTGGTTTTCCTGAGAAGGTAAATCGGCCATCCACCATCCTCTTATTACAGAAAATGGGGGGTTCAATTGACGGGGTTTTGTTTACGCTTCGAGTAGACAAATGTGATCGGTCCAAGCATACAAATAGACTCAAAATAAAACCCAAGTTTATGCAAATGAACGAAATCTATACCCTACCCCTCTAGAGAACCAAAAGATAGAAAAGAAGAAAAGGGAAGGAAAAAAAAAAAAAAAAAAAAGAAGTGAAGATATCATGCTGACTATACCGTGGGTATTATATCACGAAATCCAAAGAAATAACCACAAACCCGTACGATATCAACAAATATGTGGGTTTGTTTCACTCTCCAGAACCAAGCACCATAAACACTTATGGATGGCATGCTGTATTCCAGCAATCAAGCCAGCCGCTCATGTTCGAACTTCTTGTGCATGGCTCCGTGGATGCGGCGCTCATGCAGGATACTCCAGAGACAGACGGCCAGACCGGCCAGACCAGACAAAAAGGTCGTGTAGTAAGCGGCCTGGTAGCAGGCCAACCCGTCCGGGCAGTCCCGGTCGCCGTCGGGGCCGACCACCGAGTGGCGGTCGTAGATGCTGCCGTAGAGCAGGTTGAAGACGTTGCCGCTCAGCACCGGAGCCAGGGTCATCACGCCCCAGTTCTGGGAGAGCCCGCCGATGCCGAAGGTGTGGGCAACCAGCGAGGGGAAGACGCCGAAGAGGAAGCCGTACGCGATGCCGGTGAAGCCGGAGACGATGGCTAGCTGGTGGGGGTTGGAGATCGCGGACCCGGCGAGCTGGGTGATGGTGAAGACGAAGGCGGAGATGAACAGACACCAGAAGCGCGACATGTTCAGCTTTTTCACCAGAAGGTCGGAGCCGATCCCTGTGATTGTGAGCGTTGTTTTGCTTCATGGTTTTGCTTCATGCTTAGAGAAGGACATACCGCTGGAAAGCCGACCGATAAAGTTGCCGAACGACAGGATCGACACGTGCATCACCTGTCGCTGCTGGATGAATTTCGAACTCGCGCTGTCGTCGTAGTACAGCCATAGCGCCTTGGCCTGCGAACGTTAGATCGGTCTACCAAACACGGGGTTGTCTTACGCTGTTGCCAATGTTGCTGTGAAGGTTAGCTTGGATCGCACAGCGTCTCAGAAGGGGACATACTTGATCGTCATCAGTCCGATTCCGGACAGCAGTGCCATCGTCAAGAAGAGTTGCCAGAACTCGACTTTCGGGAGCATCGACAGGCCTCTAACGTCTGGGTGAGGTGAGTCGGGGGCCACATCAGAGAGAGCATCATCCTCCTCTTCATTTTCATTCAGGAATTCTCGGGACGACCTTGAAGCAACTTTGGACACCAGGGAGGAGGTTTCGTCAATATCGGGGTTGTATTCGGGGTGAGGGGGGGTCGACACGATCGTGTGCGATTTGGCGTAGGCCGGGGAGCATGATTCATAGGTGTTAGATATCTGCGTACCTGGTTCTTCGTTTTCGAGGCTGGACCGGAAATCGGTGGACCTGGTTTTGTGCAGGCGACGCGACTCGACGCCGGGGGACCGGTTGCGCCCGATCGGCATGTACGGATCGCTGGGCGGCAGGATCCGCAGGAACGGGATCGAGATGAGGTTCAGGAAGCAGGTCCCGAGAGCGAGGAGCAGGAGGAATCGACCCGTGTCATCCTTGAAGAGGATCGCGGAGACGGTCGACCAGAAGAACGCGCTCAGTCCAAATGCGGCCAGGGGGAACGCAGTCGCGGTTCCCCGGTGGTCCGGGAAGTTGGACGCCGCTGATTGCCAGTCTTAGCTGCGAAGGTCAATGAATCAGAAGGAGCTGGACGCACATGTCTTGATGGATGCTGAGAACGCGGAGCAGCTCCCGAAGCCGGTCAGGAACGAGAAGAGGGACAGAAAGAAGATGCTCAGTGACCCGGGGCCCCCAGTGTATGCTACCAGCAGACATGTCAGTGCAAGGATTCACTTGAGGACAGGCAGAGCATACCCAGATAGATGGGGTAGTAGCCGATGCCAAGGGCGATGGCTCCCACAAAGGTCGTCAGGCGTGGGCCCTTCGCATCGGTTAACAGACCCAGCGGGATCCCCGATGCGTACATGCCCAAGTTGCCCGCCGCGCCCTGGATGGTCAGTAGGTGTTTGTATGTGTCGAGGCATGAGGGAGGGCTTACAATGAAGTTGCTCTCGGTCGAGGAGATCTTCATCTGCGACGCAAATTGGGGCGCCCATGCGGAATATGCATACTGCTACTGGTCAGCACCGTGCCTGATGGAGATGGCAGCAAGAGAGACGCACGTTGGTGCCGCACGCGAGCGCAACGAAGGTTGCGGCCACGACGGAAACCATCCGCTTGGTTTTATGCGACGAGTCGGCCATGTCGAATCTGCGTCGGTGCACCAGGGAGGTTCCAGAACAGGAACTTCGCAACAATTATGCGGGGAAGGGCGGCGACTATTTGTACCTAGACCGGGACAGGGTCGGGCCAGGTGGTGCAGTGGACCAACGTTATCACGTCACGATAACCGGCAGGAGGGCGAATGCAAGGAGGATCGGAATATCGGATAGATAACCAGCTGCTCCCCAATAGGGTCTCGAAAGGAAGGACGAGAAGATAAACAGAAGGGAAAAAAAAAAAGAAAAAAAAAATAAGAAAGGGATTGAAGGAGTGACAAAAGTATGACAGAAGAAAAGTCAAGTAAAGGAGGAGGTGGAGGGAAGAGCGATAATTAATCCCCCAAGAGCCAACGCAATCGAGTGCAAAGTGGCCCGTCGGCCTCGTAATCGGTGGAGAGTCTCGGTCTTCAGAGTGACACCGCACGGAGTTGATGGACTCCCGCCAAGCTTGAAGCCACACTGTGGCGTTGGACTTGGACCAGTCGGCCCTCAGGCACTCAGGCAGTCACCCAGGCAGTGATACTGGCACATGACGAAGGCGGCGACCCCCGGCCTTCCCTCGCCGTCTTCATCTCGCATCGCATCGCATCTCCAATCCCCACGCTTATCATCACCCTCTTCCCAGGATCACAATTCCTTTCAACTTGAGATCTGAAACACACTGCGTCCATCATGGGGGCCCTCCTCTCCCTGCCTCTTCTGGCCATCCCGAGCGCCAGTACGGTACGTGCACCTCCCTCGAGGCCCGCGACCCCGCTGATATCAGTAGCTCATCACCGTCGCAACCTCATGTTGCGGCGCTGCCACTTGCTCGGCAGTATGTAGTGCCTGCGGCAAGTTCCAGAACAGGTCAGTCTTTCGATAGTCCGCCGTCATCCATGACAGGGCACTGGCTGACTGGGCGCCGATATAGCATGGCCACGAGAATCGCCTACGCCTTCATCCTCTTGATCAACTCCATCGTCTCCTGGATCATGCTCACGCCCTGGGCCCTGAAGAAGCTACAACACCTGACGCTGGACTACATGGAAATCAGGTGCGACGGCAAGGAATGTTACGGCTGGGTGGCCGTCCATCGGATCAACTTCGGCCTGGGTCTCTTCCACCTGATCCTCGCCTTCATGCTGCTGGGAGTACGCTCGTCGAAGGACGGCCGCGCCGTCCTCCAGAACGGCTTCTGGGGTCCCAAAATCATATTGTGGCTTGCGCTCGTCGTGACTTCGTTCTTTATCCCGGAGTCGTTCTTCTTCGTCTACGGCCACTACATCGCCTTCTTCTGCGCCATGCTGTTCCTTCTGCTCGGCCTGATCCTGTTGGTGGATCTGGCCCACAGCTGGGCAGAACTGTGCCTGCAGAAGATCGAGGACCACGACTCGCGGACCTGGCGCGGCCTCTTGATCGGCTCGACGGTGGGCATGTACGTCGCGTCGCTCGCCATGACGATCCTCATGTACATCTTCTTCGCCCACAGTGGTTGCGCCATGAACCAGGCAGCCATTTCGGTGAGTTCTCCCGCAGTCAGTCCGGTTGTTCGAAGCTGACAGATACAGATCAACCTGGTCGTGTTCCTCATTATTTCGATCATCTCGGTGCAGCCGATCGTGCAGGAGTCTAACCCCCGCGCCGGACTGGCGCAAGCCGCGATGGTGACCGTCTACTGTACCTACCTGACCATGTCGGCTGTCTCCATGGAGCCGGATGACCGGCAGTGCAACCCGCTGATCCGTGCCCGGGGGACCCGGACGGCCAGCATCGTGCTGGGCGCGCTTGTCACCATGGCTACCATCGCATACACGACCACCCGCGCGGCCACGCAGGGCATTGCGCTCGGCTCCAAGGGCGGCCACAGCTACTCCGAGCTGGGAACCGATGACAACGAGCACGGCCTGGTAACGCAGCAACCCACCAGCCGCCGGGAGATGCGGGCGGAGGCGCTCCGTGCGGCTGTCGCCAGTGGCAGTCTACCCGCCAGCGCGCTGGACGACAGCGACGATGAGGACGACGAATACGACACCAAGGATGACGAGAAGGGATCAACCCAGTACAACTACTCCCTGTTCCACATCATCTTCTTCCTGGCGACCACCTGGGTAGCCACCCTGCTCACGCAGAACCTGGACCCGGAGGCGGCGGACGACTTTGCGCCCGTGGGCCGGACCTACTGGGCCAGCTGGGTGAAGATCATCAGCGCGTGGGTGTGCTACGCGATCTACCTGTGGACGCTGATTGCGCCGGTGCTGCTGCCCGACCGTTTCGGCACCTTCTAAGCGACCGACCCCCGTATAAGTACAAACCGTAACCTTGGAGTTGGGCGTTGAGCGATCTCATTCTTTCTTTCATAGTCATAGTCATAGTCATAGTCATGTTCCTTTTGCTGCATGTCTGCCACTGCAAATAAGACCCCTGGACAGGAGGCATGCGTTTCTCGTTTAGCCGTGTTTTGAATATTGCTGTATCATAGTGTTAGATCGAGAATGAGAACGAGAATGGCATTGCTAAGTGGTATATCTGATGACGTCCTTGTAGTTGTACATAAGTAGTACCCGTGGGTCGCTCCGCCCGGACATTAGGCTTATCGCCGCCTCGCCTGCCTCGCGTAAAGTGGCCGCCGCGCGCATCGCCGCGTCTCCGCTTCCTTCCCTCATCTCGTCCATGACATGACATGGCGACCATCAAGCCCATCGAGTCGCGCTCGGTACGCATACACCATACACCATACCCCACATGAACACACCCTCCCTTACCCTACCTGTCCTGTCCTGCTCTTGATCGCAGTCTGACGTGTTGATGTATCCCCACAGATCCACCAAATCCAATCCGGCCAGGTAATCGTCGACCTCAACTCCGTCGCGAAGGAGCTGGTCGAGAATAGTCTCGATGCGGGTGCTACGTCGATTGGTAGGTCCCGCCTCCTACTCCAAGATTACATCAAGCAGAGGGACTTTATTTCAAGGGGGCGGCGATGCGGAATAGAAAGATGCTGGAAGCTGATTGTTTGCTCGCTCCGAGTGATGCAATGTAGAAATCCGCTTCAAAAACAACGGGCTGGACCTGATTGAAGTCCAGGACAATGGCAGCGGGATCGCGGAGGAGAATTGGGAGAGTGTCGGTACGCTATCCAACATCCCCATCCACCCTTCATCAATCATTCAGTCTCTTCCATGTCTTTACGGCCCGAGACTTAGGTAAAAACTAACAATTTCGAATGTGATAAAACAGCTTTAAAACACCACACTTCCAAACTGACCACCTTCAATGACCTCACGCAACTCACCACCTTCGGCTTCCGCGGCGAAGCGCTCTCTTCGCTGTGCGCGCTCTCCTCCTTCCACATCACGACGGCGCAGGCGCACCAAGCGCCCAAAGCGACGAGACTGGATTTCGCCCCTTCCGGCAAACTAAGCAAGACGCAGATCATCGCGGGGCAGAAGGGGACGACTGCGTCCGTGGAAGGACTGTTCCGGACATTACCGGTGCGACGACGCGAGCTGGAGAAAAATATCAAGCGGGAGTACGGGAAGGTGTTGAATCTGTTGCATGCGTATGCGTGTGTGAGTGTGGGGGTGAGGTTTACTGTGAGGAATATAGTGGGTGGCGGGAAGGGAGGTGGGCGGAATGCGGTGGTGTTTAGCACGAATGGAAATGGGACGACGAGGGAGAATATTGCGAATGTGTACGGGGCAAAGATGGTGGGAATGTTAGTGGGGTTGGATTTGGAGTTGCAGTTTGAGGGATCTGGAGGATCTGGGGGCAGGGGAGGGAGTGAGATCCTGGTGCGCGGCCACATCTCTCGACCGGTCTTCGGAGAGGGAAGACAGACGCCTGATCGACAGATGTTCTTTGTGAATTCGCGGCCGTGTGGTTTGCCTCAGATCGCGAAGGCGTTTAATGAGGTCTACAGGTCGTTTAATGTCTCGCAGTCGCCGTTTGTGTTTGCCGATTTCTGTATGGATACGGATGCGTATGATGTCAATGTGTCGCCGGATAAGAGGACCGTGTTGTTGCATGATGCCGGGGCGTTGATTGAGGCGTTGAAGGGCGAGTTGACCAGGTTGTTTGAGGCGGAGGAGCAGACGGTACCGCAGGCGAAGACGGCTGCTGGTGTGGGGGGGAGGAGGTCGTTGCCGCAGACCCCGACGAGGTTGGTGGGGAGAGGGCTGGGTGGGAGTGGCGTTAGGGAGAAGGATACGGAGAAGGAGCAGGTCAGCTCCCAGGATCGTATGAAGAGTTTCTTGAGTGGTTTGGGAGCTGGGGAGAGGCCTGAGGAGCCCTCTGCGGGTCTGCAAGATCAAGTTCAGGTAGGCCGGTCGCCAGCTCGTGTTCAGCCTGAACCTGAACCTGAATCTGAACCTGAGGATGAGGAGGAAGACAACGAGCTGTTCGTGAGCCAGGGCAGTCCCCCAGCCGAGACACAGGATGCCGTTCAAAGACCACAGGAACCAGAACTTCAAGAAGATGGCGGTGACGGTCACTCCCAAGGCAGTGCTGCTGATGCACCTTCGTCACAGCTCGTCAACCCAGAGGACGAGACCCCCAACGCAGTGCAGAATGCATTCGATCGGATGCGGCCCAGACGCATGCCCACGGAGGTTGCCACCATCACCATCGGTAACAGGACTGTCACGTCGATGGTGGGGAGTGGATTACCGAGGAAGAGGTCCTCGGATGGTGTGGGCACTTCGACCCGCAAACGACGCATACATACGCCCTCGCGGGCTAGTATCTTTGGGAAGCATATGAGGGATTTTGCTGCTCCGGGGTCACAGTTGGGAGCTGATATGGATGAGGACGAGGAAGAGGACGAGGAAGGTGGTGTTGAGGACGATGAAATGGAGGAGATTTTCGACGAAGAAGCAGAAGAAACAGAAGAGGAGGAGGGAGGAGAGGCAGAAGAGGCTGAGGAAGAAGAGGCGGGGGAGGAAGAGGCGGAAGAAGAGGCAGAGGATGATGTTGAAGATATCAAGGAGGATGGTTCTCAAGCCTACGCTCCATCAGAACACGAAAGCGACCACTCCCACGGCACTGATCACACAGACCATGCCAGCAAAGTCGAAACTCTGTCCCAGCCCCGGTCAACCGAGCAACACATGAACGAAGAAGAGAAGAAGCGGCACGAAGAGGCCGAAGTGCAGCGTCTGATCCAAGACGCAGAAGACAGGGCATCGCTGCCCCAGGGCAACACGATCCTGCGCGCCAACAAAATGAACAAAGGCGCGGCCCACCGCGACTCGACGGTGCAGCTGATCAGCACCATCGACGGCTCTCTCTCAAGGATACAAGCCCAACTCAAGACACTCCAGTCAGGCCTCCTCCGCTTCAACAAGCACGCCAGCCCAGCCGCAGCCTCCACCGAGGCTGCGGCATCCCACGAAACAGCCGAAGAGCGCCTTTCCCTCACAGTCAGCAAGAATGATTTCGCCAACATGCGAATCGTCGGCCAATTCAACCTCGGCTTCATCCTCGCCACCCGATCCTCCCCCCCAGACACAGACACCAACACCCTCCCCCCCGACGCCCAAGACGAGCTCTTCATCATCGACCAGCACGCCTCCGACGAGAAATTCAACTTCGAGCGCCTCCAAGCCTCAACCGTCGTCCAGAACCAACGCCTCGTCCAACCGAAACGCCTCGACCTCACAGCCGTGGAGGAGGAAATCGTCATCGAGAACCAAGCCGCGCTCGAGAAGAACGGGTTCATCGTCGATGTGGACGACAGCGGCGACGAGCCCATCGGCCGCCGCTGCAGCCTGATCTCGCTGCCCCTGAGCAAGGAGGTGGTCTTCGGCGTGCGCGATCTGGAGGAACTGATTGTTCTGCTGGCCGAGACGCCAACCACTACCGCCACCAATGCCGCCGCTGCTTCGTCGGATATCTACATTCCCCGTCCCAGCAAGGTACGGAAGATGTTTGCCATGCGGGCGTGTCGCTCAAGTATCATGATCGGCAAGACTCTCACCGAGAAGCAGATGACCAGGGTGGTTAGGAATATGGGGACGATTGATAAGCCGTGGAATTGTCCCCATGGACGACCGACTATGAGGCATCTTATGAGTTTGGGTAGGTGGGATGAATGGGATGAGTTTGGGGGGATTATGGGGAGGAGGAGAGTGGGGATGGTGATGGTGATGGCGATGGCGATGGTCTGGATGTTTGGAGAGAGTATCTGCAGGAGGCTGAGGAGCCTGACGAGGAGGGGTCTGATGAGGTTGTCGATGAGTCTGAGTAGTTGGTGGTTTGGTTTGTAAATTGGTATTTGTTATTGGTATTGGTATTCTTGGACATGCATTTTCTAGAAGAATATTGGATATGATTGCCTTTTTTCTTTCGGACGTTCCTTCGCTGCGAAATCTGCCTAGGAGTGGGCAGGATAAGATGGCTGCGAAGTTGTATATGGCAGATTGCAGATCTACCTGCCAGACAATGATGGCTCCACTGAATTCATCATGAATATCACTTTGTTGGTACAGAGTAATACTTAATAATCAGGCGCATTTCCTTAAGACACGCCAGACATGCATTATCATTATTTTTACGGCACCCACCACCCAGGGCCATCTGCCATCCATCCATCTACAGCAACAACCCAGTAAGCAACTATATATATCCTTTGCACAAGAAAAAGAAATGAAATAGATTTTAGAGAGAAAAAAAATGAAAATATAGCATGTCCTGGTTTCGATCCAGGGACCTCCGGGTTATGAGCCCGGCGCTCTTCCCCTGAGCTAACATGCTGGGGTGTATATTCTTTTTCCTTTGACTTGGCATCAAGAGCCAGCTAATTCTAAAGACGCTGCTTTTTCCCTTTCGCGAAGTCTAGTTACGGACCGAGAATTAAATTGATTCATTCAATCAAAATTATGTTGATCAGGATATGACTATATACATCATCGAATAGCACCTTTATTTTATCGCGAGTTCTCTGTTTTGAAGAGGATCTGGATCTGGTGGCCATTAGCCGCAAATATTCCTGCCTGATCAGCATATTTGCACCCCGTCATGATTAATAAGTACGGGATGGTCGTTCCAAAGTAGTATCAAATCTTTCCCTTTGTGATTCCCAACCGAGTCAAAGTCATGTCATAGATATGGATAGTAGCGGGGCGAGGAGGGGTCCGTGGGGGTCCATGCGACCAACTGCCGATTCGCTCCCCTTCTAACGACCCAAACAGTCAGGTCACATGATTGAAATGGATTAGTAAAACCAACAAGCCGCGTCCGTCCATCCAAGCAACGCCCATCATTGACAAACGAAGATGGAACCCATCACCTCCCCGAGCAAAGAAGAGATCCTTGCGCTCCTAAAGCAGGCTGAAAGAGAGCGACAGCAGGCTATCGAACGCGCGGAAAATGCAGAAAAACAGAGCCAGAAAACAACATTTGCAGAATACCTGCAAGCCTGTCATCAGTTGATCACAAAGCCCTTGACAATCCAGAGCGACCAAAAACTCACAACAAAGGGTTCCATCACCAGTCCAACTGGTCGTGTATGCCCTGATGTCCTTCGACCTTTCGATTTTCGCGCGATACAGCAGGAAGTCTTCGATGAGATCTATCAAGCCTTCCATTCTCCCTCACCCTTGCGATCGTTTCCTTCGTTGCCTATTCTCGAAGATAGAGGGAAACAAGCATGCGAGCGTGCGTTAGCAAGTGAGGCGGATTTGGCAAGACATCAAGAGGCAGAAGTGGAAACCCCTGTGAAAGAAATCATCGAGCAGCTTCTGCGGGCTCCTGAAGGTCGGCTTTCACTTCCGCTTGGCGAAGGAATTGCGTTCGAGAACCACTCAAATACCATCACGGAGAATCCAGAGCAGGCGAACTCCCAACAGCCCACAACAACTCCAGAGCCAGTGAAATCAGCGCGGCCTCCAACCGATCGAAACTGCGTGTTTTTGAAAACGGGCGATCATCGGAGCTTACTGTATATCATTGAACATAAAGCTGCCCACAAACTCACCGATGCTTTCCTCCGAGCGGGTCTTAGGCCAATGAATGTGGTGGAGGAAGTCGTCCAGCGAGTGACGATACCAACAGACGCCGATGAAAAACTTCTCTATGAATCCGCCTTCTTATCAGCTGCGGCGGCTACGCAAACCTATGAATACATGATGAAGGCAGGTCTCGAATGGGGCATGCTAACAAATGGTCGCATGAAAGTTATCCTTCGGATTCCGGAAGATGATCCCAAAACACTGGAGTACGACCTTCTCGAACCAGGGAGAGATGCTGAGCCAAACCCTCTTGATGACCGTGGCTTTCGTTTCCCTTATACAGCCGTTTCCTACCAGTTGGGATTAACTTTGATAGCCCTTCGATCACCGCAACGCAGCCAAACATGGCGGAATCAAGTCATGAACAAACTGAGTAAGTGGGAAGTCGACTTCGAGCTTGCACTCAGGTCTATTCCAGAATCAGAACGCAAGATAAGCCCACCAGGCTCAGAATACAAAGAACCCATTTATCCTATCGACAATCGTTCACCATATCTCTTACGGCGCTCACTGGTCCTGGGGAGTCCTCGTCCAATTCAATCCCGGAGGAGTCCATCACCAGATTCTTCGGGCGAATCAGATACAGATCACAAGCGTCTCCTTTCTTCGCCTATTGTGGATCGAAGCAAACGCCAGCGGACATCAAAACCCCTTCCTCGCAGCCATCAAGCGCCTGGTCAGCCATCAACTTACGCCTTTTGCACTCAATCATGCCTGCGGGGACTTTTGGCGAGGTCAGAGCTTGACGACAAATGCCCTAATGTTTATTTACACCAAAAACATTCAAATGATGGGCGACACCCTATATCTTGCCACGATCTCATCGAGCTGACCAGCCAACAACTGCACCAGAATCTGGACACTTGCTCTCCTATTGGGAGGGAAGGCTTGCATGGTTCTATCTTTGCCATCCAACTGCAAACCTACGGTTACACCCTGGTTGGTAAAGGTACTGAGTACAATTCACGTCATGAAGGTGCCATCTACAGCAGGCTCAAAACCTTGCAGGGATTTGCCGTTCCAGTCTACCTCGATGACATTGACTTGCGGAATGTATACTATACTGATTCCGGTCGTGAGATCATTCATATGTCACTTATGGCATGGGGTGGACGCACTCTTCAAGAGTCCGAGTGCGCAGGCTTGAAAGAGCATATTGAGAACGCCAAGTCCGAGGTCTACAATTCGGGCGTCTTGCATTTGGATTTGCGTGCATCCAACTTTTTATGGAACGAAGAGATGAAACGTGTGATGCTTATAGATTTTAGCCGAGCGACGACTCACAACAAACGGAGAAGATCATTCGTTCTATCCCCAAGCAAACGCGACAGACCATTCTTATTCGCCAATACAACAAAGATCATCGGTCCTATGGCTGTTGAGCGGCCTTGATATATATACAGTTACATGTTGTCTCGTTGATGTTTCGATGTGGAAACCTGTGAATTTCTGCATTAATTAGCTCCCTCGTGGGCTAGTCTCCCGATTTCATTTAAATCGATGGGAATTGCGCCTGGACCCTGCTTCAAAACCAGCATATACTTCTACCTTTTGGTTCCGAGCTTGACCTTCCTTCTGACAAAGGTATATTCCTGCACGTTTCCATGTCGCAACATTATGGCACCATGTTTGTAGCTGTGGCTGAAAGTGGATAGCAAGTTCTGTGGTGGGACATCCTATCGTATAAGGATTGCTTAGTTCAAAAGGAACAGAAAAAAAAAGGAATGACAAGATAGCATGTCCTGGTTTCGATCCAGGGACCTCCGGGTTATGAGCCCGGCGCTCTTCCCCTGAGCTAACATGCTGAGTTCTGTGTGATTTTCCTTTCTGTTTGTGGTTAAGGACCAGCAGCAGCCTTAGGCCAGGAGCGTCGGTCGAACCAAAGGGGGTATGTCTGCGGGGGAGATATATAACGGGGTGGCCATGGTATGTATGCATCTTTAAGATCCTGTTTATATTTATTGAGTACTTCTAGATAGGTAGTGCGCGCTCGTCGCGTTCCATTGCGCTGGCCTACTTGGTGTCGAAGTGAACTTTTATTACTATTGAGAAAAAAAAAAGTACTCGCCGTGGACGATGCGATAGGGCTCTTAGATAATCCCTATACGGAGTACAGACCACAGACCTGGACGGACGGGTTCCTAACCCACGACAACAAGGCACGATTCTTTTCGGCGCTCGCGGGGATTATCTAGGGAGATCATAGTTCAATTAGGCCCACGGGGGTATAATAAAGTATAAAAACCTCGTTACTGGTCCGGGGCACTCGATCACTGTAGGCAGACTCCTCGGCCAATATTTCGAAGGGAGGAACCTAAATAGGAATATAACCTACCTTTTTTCATCAATATCTGCGGCCTGGAGGACTTGATTCCTCTCTTTCAGTCTCTGCCTTTTTATTTTCATTTTTATTTTTTTTGGGCCGCACTTTCTTCGGCGTCGGCTGCATTCTTTACTACTTGGTATTGCCCATCTAGAATTATTGTCCGGGTCCAAAGAAATTGTGCGGATGTACGCCGCATGATACCATCATCCCTGTGTGTGTGTGTGTGTGTGTGTGTGTGTGTGTTTCTTGGTATCTAGACAAATCTATACGGAAGATGTTGGGTGGTCAAGGACACCGGGTAAAACTATGCCTTGTACTCGGATATTCCGTACAATGATTTGAAATATATACTATACCTATATCCTTGTCATTGGCAATTTGTATGTAAGGGAGATGTCAACACATTATTAAAGTACTAAGTGAAAGCGCTATTAGTAGTGTTGGAATATACACCCACCTAACCTATGCGGGTGTTCCCATTAGGTTGTAGGCTAGGTTGCACTGTATCCCGGAAAATAGAGAAGAAGAAGCAAAAACACCTTCATTGGTGAAAAAGAACATATAGAGAGAAGGGTATGTATGTACAATAAGTTGAAAAAATAGAAAGAAATGAAAGAAAATAAAAAGAAAGGATAGCAGAATAGCATGTCCTGGTTTCGATCCAGGGACCTCCGGGTTATGAGCCCGGCGCTCTTCCCCTGAGCTAACATGCTGATTGGATAGAAATTCTGCACAATTTTGTTTACATGAGCCAGCTATTACGGAGTATAAGGGTCGAAGGTCGTCAACCCGAGGGGACAGAGCCAACCCACGAAGTCACCTCCCGAGGATACAGCTATCTAGGTAGCTGTATCCGGCTGGCAATCACCATGTGACGGGGGGTAGTACTCCAGAGCTTATCTCTTCATGATGAGGATGAGGACTTTCAACTCCGCGAGTGCGAGCCATTCCATCCCCCCCCCCCCCCCCAACCACCTATATATCCTACCCTACTAGAAGTACCAGATATGTCAATGCTGAAAAGAAAGGAAGACAAGTCAACTCAACTCAACAAACAATTAAACAATCTGTAAATTAATCACCATCATCAATTAATTTTCTTCTCTTCCCCCATTCCCATCCCTCTGCATTATACATGTATCCTACCCCCCACCCATCCGATCCTATGTCTGTATGTATGTACTTGCAATGCAATGTAAATAGTAAAGGAACCATCTAAAATAAAAAAAACGAAGCAAGAAAAAAATTCTACCGTGCAAATTAAACCCGCTCAATGATATGCCTGTCCTAGTGACAGTGAACAGCAAGACAGAAAAAGAAAAACAACGACAAGTATTCAAGAGCAATTATGATGATGATGATGATGATGATGATATATGCTGATAGGGTGGGGGTGGGGTGATAATGTACAACTCCGGGGCCAAGATGTTAGGTCAAGATAGCGTATTGTAGCTAAACAAGTAAGAAACAAACAATGGATGGATGACCTTCATTGATTACCGTGAAGGAACGTACATTTCGAGGAGAGATTGATTGATTGATGGAGTGATGCAGGTGAGGTCGTCGTGGACGTCATGGACAGATTGGATGCAAGAGGGAGAGGGATAGGTATTTGAAGAATTTATACAACGTCAGGTTTGAGAAAAGGATTGAATTGAATTGCATTGGTCCCCGTGAATGCATCGGTAGGGTGTTTACAGGGTCAGTCGGCAATCAAAGTTGACCGGCAAGAATGGCTTCAGTGGCTGGAGGATAACGATTAGCTATTTTCAAATCAAGATTCTGCACATGTAATTCTTACCGGAGTTGATGTAAGGACGCTTGGCGTCCAGGTTGACACCGAATCGCCTCTCGAGTTCCTGCTTGATGCTCTTCTTCGTCACCGTCATCAGATCGGCCGTCCGAAGAATTTCCCGGATCTCGGACAGCAGAGCATCGTCGGCGGGGAGATGAGACAGGTCCTCCATCTCCATCTCGCTGTGGCCGCTCATCATCTCAGAGGCCGCCAGAGACATGCGGGATGAGTAGCGAGGGAGGTTGAACTGGGACACGGGTCTCGAGGACGGGAAGCCGTACTCGGACTGCATTGGGTGGTAGGACTTGGTGCCGTAAGAGATGCCGGAGACCTCTGACCGATCGTCCCGCGACGTCTGTGCTTCCCAGAGCTCCGCCTGGTATTCTTCCCACGTCTTCTTGGGAATAGACGCCGGGTCGAACTTGCCTTCGTCCGAAACGATGACTCTGCGACCGCTTTCTCCAGTGATGACACGAGTGTTACCCCACGAGAAGTCGTCCATGTGCCAGAAGGAGTACAATGGGAGTGCCAGGGAGGAGATGGGAATACCGAGGATATAAAGAATCATCCATCCGATCATGTCCCACTTGCGCCGGAAGAGGAAAATCAATGCCTGCAGACCGTAGATAACTGCGAGCAGGATGAATGCCGTCCATGACGTTGAATCCTCGTGAATGAGCCAGTAAATCAGGTAAGCGATGTAACCAACAGTGACGGGCTGAACGACTGTACTGACAAGATCCATAAAGACAATGAATCTCATACTGAAGCAACAGAAACCGCAAAGCTGCTGAATGGGGATAAGCTCAATTAGATTGTGAACTGTGGAGTTGATCCAACGACGACGTTGAGACAGGAAGACAGCGAAGTTGTCAGGCGCAATAGTCCAAGCCTTAGCAGCCATGATGTACTTGGTCTTGTACTTGGGGTGATGTCTCAAAAGCAGCGTAGTTAGGTAACGATCCTCGCCCAGATGCAGCAAGTTCTTCATGTGGAGGGTGTCCACGCGAATTTCCGAGTAAGATTCCACGATCTCTTTGCTGACGAATAACGGCTTTCCACTCTCAACAGAGCGGATACGATACATCGTGAAACATCCGGGCAGGCAAGTGATGGAGCCAAACAGTGTCTCGAAAGCCTTGATGAGGTTATGAGAAATGTAGTATTCGTAGACCTGCATCATTGTCGTCATCGAAGATTTGGCATTGGACAGCGCAGTCTCTCCACAAAGACCCAAGATGCGAGTATCAGCCATCATTGTCGCCACCATCCGGGTCGCTGAATCTTGAGCAACAACCGTGTCGGCATCGACCTGCAAAATAAACTCATAGAAACTGGGATTGACACCAATAATGTTGCGGATTTGATGATACATCTCGAGTTCCATGGGGCTCATGGGATAGTTGTAGTGGACCCGGTTCAGGAACCGCATGAGAACCATCTGAGAGTCACGCTTTCCTCTGTTGCCAGGTCGGGCGACCTCGGACGGTTTGCCCACCTTGACAACGACCATGAAAGGCACAATATGGCCCTGAACCTCGTAGAGGCCCGAATAGACTTTGCCCATATTATGTTGCTTCATACCCTCGCCGAGACTCTCGAAGCTCAGTGGCTCAGGATCAACAGATTCCGGAACACCGAGAATATCCAGAACAATTCGAGGGGTTGGGCGATCATTGCCTTGTCCAATAATCATACCGTCGCAGATGATGAAGAGGAGTTTGCGCTTGTCATCATAGCGCATACGAGCCATGGAGTCAATAGCACGGCGAAGGGAGTCCTCGTCTTCGGTGTAGGCCGGGACCTGGCAAATGATGAACTTGTCAAGGTTCTCGGGAAGATTCTTCTTCTGGAACTGCAAGGCTGCCAGGAACTTGAAGACGACAATCAGACAAACGAAACACGTGATCGCGAGAATGAAGTAACGAGCAAATTGGCATTTGGGCGAGTCACGCGTGTCAACATGGCCGACGAAGAAAAGGTTGTCTAGACATAGTTGCATCCGTTCGCGCATCGTGTCACTGATTGCCAGATTATCCCAGTATTTTGTCATGTCCTTACCCGGAAGCGATTGGAAGAGTTCTACAACCAGGTCATCCATGAAATTTCGATCGACATTGGCAGGAACCGTTTTTCCAACAGGGGCTTGCACTCGTCGGCCTCCAGCGATGTATGTTGTCATGTCATAGACTTTTCCGTTGATACTTCCGATGTACTGTTCCTTGTTGCCCAGGGTTCTCAGGTACTTGGGTGTGTAACCGACCCAACCCCTGAAGTAGCTTGCCTTGAGCATGATCATTTGCTCCTCGAACCAGTCAGGGCGAGAGTCATTGGTGAAGTAGCGGAAGTCGTGATACTGGTAGTTGGTGTCGGTGGTGCTGACGGTGGTTGCCGATCCTGTGACATTGGTGGGCTCATAATCCAAGAGCACAGTGGGATCAACCGAGCCGTCTTTGCCCGGGCACAAGGCGGACACCTGAACTGGGAACAGGCCAGTGGCGTCGGTGCCAGCATACTTTTTGAGAGCCGTCTCGGGTACGACATCAGGATAATGAGAGGGCATGAAGTTGCCCAGGTTGAAGACTATACCGCGAATCGCAACATAGGAACTGTGACCTTTTTTGCCGTTATGTTCCGACAACTCGGCCGATGAATAGACATGCTGCGTCGGACAAATCAAGGTCGGAAACCCGATAATGATGAACATGGCCAAGGCACAGCTGAACCAAATGATGAAGTTAATGGCAAGCTTTTCACGCCAAGCAATCCGCACATCTTTCCGCTTCATGCGTCCGATCGACTTGATTGCAAAGTCTGGGATAAACCAAGTCAGAAGATAGACGATCGCCATCCAGCGTTTGCGGCTACTGGTGACAGGCGCTTCCTCCACCTCTTCCATATTTCTCTCGTTGCCCTTCTCGAGCATCTGCTCTCTGGTGTCCAGATTGCGGAACATGTCTCCCGAATTGAAGGCGGATGCTCCTGCCTCCGATCGTCCATCGAATTCACGGCTGCTGGAATATCCTTGCTTCCCATCCTCGGCATAGATGAACCCACCAGGGGATTGGTCACCCGGGGCAAGGAGTCGGACCTTGGAATCTGTATAGCCGGCAGCCCGCGAGTGGGGATCGCCACCTTCGTCAGAGCCGTCCGGAGCATATGTAGGGACAACGCGCTCCCCCAGCTTTGCGATGTCTGCCCAACAGCGCTCGCTAAGAAAGACTCCTGTACTGCCAGCCCTGGCTTCATTGCCTGGCCATCGCTTCTCATCCAAAACAACCTCGGACTTCTCCCTGTCGCTCCCCACCACAACGTTGCCAATTTCCGCCAGGCCGAGGAACTCAGCGAAGGGGAGAAAGATGCTGAAGTCCGCGTTTCTGAGGCGTTGACTGATTTCAGCGATACCGAAGGTTTGCATTTGCGCACGCACGCATTTGCTGTCGAACTGGTTGGCGATGCGTCGGTCGTTGGGTTTCAGGCAAAACACGAAGTAAGGGTTCAGATTAGGCGACCCTAAGCATTTGGTAACAATATCTAGTGATGAGAGGAACTGACCAGCAGCACCTTGGATACCGCTCGCTAGCATTGTCTTCCGCCTCCCGGAGCTTTTTGATGTGCTTCCAGCTTGGCTCTCATACTCCTCCTGCTCCTCCGCCACGGGGGCATCGAACGCCAGACGGGGAGATAGTCCGGTCTTGCGTCTCGCCATGCTGGGCATACGCAAGGGCTTGGAGCTTACCTGTGCCTGCATGATGGCGGTCTTTTCCTGAGGGTGGGTCACTGTCTGCAACGCCTCCTGTCCAAAGAGGTCTCTGACAAAGTCACTCCTGGTGGATTTGATGAGGTTCATCAGATCCCCTGAAATAACGTCATTGTTCTCCTCCAGAAGACCAGTTACTGGATACTCGACCTCTCCAGCGAAATGCCTCACAGTAAAGGAGGTCCGAGCCGCTTGGGAGACAGCCGCAGTTCCTGGCGCGCTACCAACGGTGATAGCGGGGTTCTTCTTATCGAATCGCTTTCTTACCGACTCGAGGAACTGAGAGTCAGTCCGGCCACGTTTGGTCTGATCATCGAGGATGCTAAGCAACCCATTGCCGGATTTCAATAGGCCCTTAACGGCATCGCTGTTGTCAAAATAGCTCGTTGCAGGGACAGAAACCTCTTCCCGCTCCAGCATATCCGCCTTGCGGTCAAAAAATGACTGCAAGCAGAAGTTGTACAGGGATTCAGTGGCGGCATTGCTTAGCAGCTGATCCAGAGTCGAGCCGGTCGAACTCGTCTGGGAAAATCCGGGGAAGTCGACGATGGAGATGGTGTTCGCTACACTGTCATCGGCCGCACATATCCTCTGGTTGATTGTCTCAATCACGTAGGCTACCAGGAGGGAATACAGGGTCCGTGCCAATTCGTCGGCATTCTGCCGGGCGCCCTTGGGATCCAGCATAACGGTGACGCGCTCGCGATGGATGGTCTTTGTCCGGTACCCGAAGCTGGTCTCGAGCTCCTGAACGCCTAGGCCCAGGAACGCAGCGACAATGCCCAATACATCCTTGTTTTTCACAATGGTGACGGTTTCGCCACCTTCGTGGGAATAACCGCCGGATTCCTCCGCCGAGGTGGTAGTGGATTGTCCGCTAGTGAACTCCAGTTGACCGAGGTGAAGAATCGTAGCGAGGATCTGACAAAGCTCGGCGATCTCGCCCCGCGGGAATTCAAGCTTCCTGAGCGCAGTCTTAAAATGCTGGAAGCCATCGGCGTCGTTGATGCCAACCTTCAGCTGAGTCGGATGACCCAGGTACCTCCACCGCTTGTGGCCTATTGAGGCCGACGAAAGCTTACCGGCGGCAGTAGACACATGGATGGAGTTATCGAAGCCCAGGTGTTGCTTTTCCGCAGCGCTCGTGCCGGCCAAAAGATAGTACAGCACATGGAAGCTCCGTTCGCCCGTAGGAACGGAAGCAATGCGGCTGCGCTCGAGTCTGTGGTCAATGATCTTACCACCGATCAGGGTGGGGTTAACGGAGGAAGATCCGTCGTATTGCAGCTCCAGGAAAAGTCCAGCTTTGGATGCAGTGGGGGTCGTCAATGACTTGGTCGTGGTCAAGGTGTCAAACACGAAGGCGGCGTACGATAGCTTCGAAGACAGCGGGGTAGACGAGAACGAGAGAAAGGACGACAACATGTGTGACCGAATAGTAGTCTTTCCAGAACCATTCTCTCCACTAATTTGTCATGATTAGCATTGGATGTGAGCGGACACCGACAGCAAGCACGTACAGGAAAACAACGGCCTGGTTCTCCCCGCGGGCACCGAGGCGGGTGAAGGCACGCCGAGCGAGGTCCTCCGCCTCGCCCATGGCACTACCCTCCTTGTCGCCATCGGGGCCTTTGGCCGAGGATGTGAACGTGTTCAGACTTATCAACGCCTGGGAGGATAGACGGGCGGTTGGTAAGCCCACATGGAACCTTAAGAATCCTACAATCAGCCACCAGTCTTGCACGCTTGGAGCACAGAAGATCTTACCGACTCGCGAGATGAGCGGTCAAATGGGTGTCTGATTGTAGATGCGATGGCAGGGACGGCAGTGAGGACTGCGCGTGTGCCGGAGTGCGTGTTGTGGGGGGTGTGGTTCCAGCCATCTTGGTCGTGAGGGGGGAACCTCGAGATGGAGGCCGTGGGAGGGATCAAGCTCTCACGCAAACGCCCGCGATGATACTCGCAACCAGGCTGCAGGAGTCGTCGCCGACGCAAAGCAGGTCTGATTGGGGTTGTCTCAACCCCGACGGGCTCGCTTCAGCTATGTTCAGGCGGACCAGGAATGCTGGGAAATAATCTCGGAGGGCGAAATTCCTAGCAATCAAGGGAAGATAGGCACATTGCTCGCATTGATGACGAATGCTAGCTGATGACGAGGACAAGGGCAGATCTGATCGAAGGGGAGTGCCGGTTGTATCGGGGGGGGTGTGGTGGAATTGCGACTGGGACAGGCAGGCCACTGGGCGAGAAGCGAGAGGCAGGAGTAGTGGTGGTCGTGGTGGTGGCGCGCAGAGCACAAGCGATCGGAGGTATATGGGACGTGCAGATGGAGGAAACGAGAGTTATTCGACCGCGTCAGAATTAGGATTAATAAGACAGAGCAGAAGAAAGGGAAATGCGGTGCGAACAACGAGCGGAGATGCGCTGTAGAAGCAAGATGGAGATGGAGATGGAGGAAGCTCTCAGTCTGTCTCTCTCTCTCTCTCCCCGGGGTCAGACAGTCAAACCAAACAGCCGACAGCAATAATTACTGCTGCGACTTGTTGATAAAGGGAAACGCTGGGACGGTACCGCTAACCCTCTCTATATTGCCCGACTGGGTAAGTCCGTACGGACGGCGTATCGGCCGGTTACGGGCGGCGGGGCGGAAAGTGGGTTTGCAAAATTACTAGTAGTCGCGGTGTATGGTCAGGTCAGGTCAGGTCAGGTTAGAGTACGGGCCCAGCATCCATGCATTCATTGTACGATGTCTGTCTGTCGGTGACTGAACAACAGCAACAGGTAACAGCAGCAACAGCGTGAATCTTTATCCCGTGCAGCCAGATGGGGGCAATTGAATAATACCTAATAACAATGCTTGTCCGTGACTCGTGAGGCCCCAACCTTGCTAGTTCCCACCTAGTCTCCGGAGGGGGATTATTTTTGGGACATTGCTGCATCCTGCACCTGACAGCCGAAGACCCGCGGATCCTCAGCCGGTGGGGAATTCTCTCAACCGGGCGGTCGAACCGTCCCTGATTGAGTTGTTTGGGTTGTTCAAGCCGGCCCATGTTTGGATCATTGGATCCTACCTTACCCATCCGCGCCCATGGGAGGCCAGCGCTGAAACCACCCTCACCCACCGATCCCCAAGATTTTAAAAATTACTCCGGAGGCTTCTCCCACTTCTACTCTGTCCACTCTTCACTCTCCGATTCTGAAGGGGGGTCTCAGATAGAATGATGAGGAGAATAATACTGGATTCTGGATTACGGGTTACTAGCACTGACTCGGGCGGGCGAGAATGTGAGACGACGACGACAACAACAAGGCCGCCCGTATCGATCTGATGTCAATCATTCAGCGCCACCACACGCAGATGAAAAGGGAAACGAAAAAGGGGGTTGGTGCCCCCTCCCCCCTCCCAGTTCCCCCTCCTTCTCTCTCCCTTGACCATCAACAAGGCCCCCGACACCTCTTTTTTCTTTGTGAGCCCGGACACGGGCGGGGAGGGGAGGGGGCGGGCGGCCTCAATATATGCAAGAGGGTTTGCAGTGTCCCCAGTGGGATCGTACGAGTCATAGGGGTGGTGGATCAGCATTCAATAGCGACTATTCGAGCGATATTTGGGGGCATGGTCCGTCGTACAAGTACGTCGGTAGTACATAGGTTGTATGTGCTCCATTTTACGCTGTTCTGCACGGCCAAGTAAACCGTGAGGGTGAAGTTGTGCTGTGGTGTTCAAACACTCCCCCGGTTAGAAAACTGGACGATCATGAATCCCCAAGACTTGGCTTTAGATAACAGGACTTACTCAGGACCCTGAGGGGCCGAAGGAAAAAAACAAAAACAAAACAAGAATTGAAGGGAAAAGTAAGCAAGTCGGGGTGGACCGATCATTCGATCTGGTTGACCCAAACCGGCAAGCGTGAAACTAGGGGCTCTTAGCCTGGCTGGTGCGGATCCATGGGCGGTAGAGCCCGTATGTATCTAGTACCTATCTAGAACACGCTGGAATGATGCGATATAATACCACCCACCCTGCGCCTGAGGGGCCGTTTCCATTTGCTCCATCGCGTTTGGCCGTGGGGGATGGATCCCGGGAGAAAAAAAAAGCAAGAGATCTATCTGCCTGTCTATCTATCTGGATCAGCTCTGGTTTATCATCAATCATAGCCCCAAGTATGGGGTATCTCAATTTCCGCCGTGCCTCGGGTCGACCGGGCGAAACAGCAGATGTTACAGCTTACAGCTTACCTACACTGTACAGCAATGCTGCGAGCTGGGCTGGTTTGGTTGTGAGTAGGTAATTTTTAGAGTTCCCTCTCATACCACCGAGGTCGCACACCATTAATAGGTAACCTACACCTTACCATCTTACCTACATACCAGTCACCTCCCTAAGCCTGTAGCAGCAATAGACCGTCATACGGCGGGTATTCTTAGTCGTAGTCAGGACGCGGCGGACCAAAACAATGGCCAGGTTTCTCGCAGGTTTCTCGGGAGGTGGTTTGGTTCGTTGGGATTAAAAATAACTCCTCCTCTCAGGTGAGCACTGTCCTGCCCGCCTGCATCGGCTGGCTGTCTCGATCCTACAGGCAGAGCATATGACAGCTACCCCTCCATGCTGGGAGTGTCCCGAAATAGCAGAAACAAGGGCGCCGGGCCCAGCAACAAAGCTGATGAGAGTGATAAGGTGGCAAGTTGGTCAGCACCCATTGGCTTTTGCCTGAGACATTGAATGTTGTCCTGTCGGGTAGATCCAGTACTAGTACTAGTACAAAGTACAACTGTTGTACTGTGCTGGGGAGTCAAGAGTGGGCGACCCTCAGGGCGCGCTAGTACCGTACGCCTGGATACGGGCTGCTGGGTGAGACAAGCTGTGCCATTTATAGGGGTCCGCCAGGGTCTAGGGCCACGGATCTGACCCTTTCCGCCACACCGATTGGCCGCCCGTCGAGTACGGCTGCACGCCACCTGACATCCTAGGAAGGCAGTAAGTAAATACATACATACATACAATGGAAGGGACAAGGTACAAGGTACACTGCCACGGCCACCGACTGGCACAGGCCCTGCCGTCGCTGCATTTTTTTTCTCGAACCACGCGTCCCAAGTCTTCCAGCAGGGACGACGGGGAGGCGAACAAAAAGGTGTCCTCTTTCGCGATGCTTAGTTTGGCGGCTAAAATACCTATCTCCTGCGCTTCCCTGCTTAGAGTTAGCTAGCGGGTGGCTAGCAGCAAGCGTGGTGCTTTTTTTTTTGCGGTGTCGATTGCAATTGCAAGAGGAGAGGCAGCGAGGCAGAAGAACCCCCGGGCCCGAACTCCATAGCGACCCCATCGTACTCCAATTGAAACAGGCATCCACTTCGCGGTGGGGGTAATTTTCGTACCGCCATACCGAGCTGTCCCGAAGGGGTTAAGCTATCTCCAGGGTAAGATACCGTACATGCGACATACAACAACAATCGGGGTCGGCCTCGCATACACTCACTCACTCACTTCCTCACTCGCTCGTTCGATCGCTCTCCTCGTCCTTCTCGGTTGCTCGTCGTCTGTGGTTAATTTTTTGCCCCCCTCTCGCTGCTGCCTTTGCTGTTGCTGGATATTCATCGTCCTCCAGCTTCCTGTCGTTGTGATTCTCGCCCTCCCCTCCTCCACAACACAACTCTCTCCGTTGAATCGGTGGGAACCCTTAATCATAATAACTAGCAGACTGCGTACCGCAACATTCGCTCCGATCGATCGCCCCTACCGCTCGCTCTAAAGGACGTCAAATCGCCTAATTCCTGACCGACAACGTGATTACACTCAAATCTCCCCATCTCTCCTCGCTGTGACCCGCTACGACCTGAAAAGCGTCAAGCGTCACCGTCGTCGGGGTCGATTTACATGCGTCAACCGCCTGCCCGCGAGTGAAGGACTCATGCTTTAACCAGCGGCCAGGTCTTTGCACTCGTTATATCTGGCTGCTAGGGCGACATCCCGCAGGTCATCTCGCCTCCCCATCGTCGAATCGACTTCTGTGCGATCCGAAAACCAGCCATGTCCAATCGCTTTTCCGTCTATTCCAGCCATTCAGCCGGCGTGTCGACGTCTCGGCCAGGTGCCCAGTCACCCGGTCCGGTGTCCACGACAAGCCTGCTGAATGCGCTGCACTCATACTACAACACCGCCCATCCCTACCAATTGGATGCGTCGACGAGTTTGGTGGTCAACACCTGGGTCACGGCTACGCGGGCATCCAATGGCCAGGAGGGGGGCATCGTAGACCGAGACCTAGCTGTCAGAGCGTGGGAGCACGCGCGAAGAAGAGCTGAGGATGGATGTATTGTCCTGTGGTATGCATGAGTGTCACTTCCATTCAACGAGCAAGAAAGGCGGCATTTGCTAACTCCAGGTAGCTCGACGCATCAATCGACTCCCTCAATTCTCGAACCCTTCCTCGCAGCGCTACCGCTGGCCACCCCGAATATCACTCATACCGCATTTACTGCCATCCGACCCTTTCTGTCTGCTGTAACATCCTTCAACCCCTCATACTCGCTTTATTCGGCACTCTCCGCTCGCTACTCCTTCAACTTGAAAGGCGATATCGTCGGGCTCTCCCTGGCACTGTCAACGTCGGGAATCAATGTACGCAAGGGCCTGCTTGACGTGCCATCCGAGCCGGGCTATCGTGCCTTCGATGTATTCTACTACCTCCTGTCTTCCGTGTCAACCCCGGCCGAACGGGAGTTTCTCAACTTGCAAGACGCTTCGACATATTCCTTGTTGAACAAGTCGGGCACATACACGCCGCCATCATTCCTCCCAACAGCCGACGATGCCGCAGCCGCAGAAGACTTCCGAAACGCACTCAAGTCAATCGGCATCAAGGGAGCTTCTCAGCGTGGCCTGCTGGCTACTTTGGCCGGGCTGCTCAAGCTTGGAAACGCGACCGGGTTTTTGGTCGATCAGGAAGACCTCGAGGAGGCATGCGACGAAGTCGGCGGCCTTCTTGGGTTGGACCCGGAGGTTCTGCTCCATCGGTGCTCTACGGACGATCGAGAGGTGTTGATCTCGGGAATCTACGAGGCATTGGTCGACTGGGTGATCGGCAAAGCCAATGAAGCCATCTCCAGCGAGCTCCAAGCAATTCTTGACCACGACCCAAGTATGAGTGGCGGCTCTGGTCCTGGAGGTCAGTGGACTGACGACGACACGGTCAGCATCACCGTGGTCGACATTCCTCGACCTGCTCTGGGCAAGGCCGTGGCGGTAAGGGAAGTCTTCGACGACAGTGCTGGTATCAACGCTGAAATGAAAGAGGACGGCATCCCCGTCTCTGCCCCCGCACATGCTGTTATGACCGAGGTAAGCTCGGCTGTATCACAGGTCGAAGCTGATCTAGGGATTACCACCGGCAAGGCCTGGCACGAACGGGAGTACGAACTTGGAAAGCGGCAGGAGGTGCTGGAGAAGGTCGGCTTAGAGGTCGATATGGACTCATTCCTCCGCAAGATCTTGTTCCCTGTCGAGACTGAAGGCATTACTCTCGGCAAGCTCGGCCGGTTTGACCTCCCGACCACCCTGGGTAGCAGCCGCATCTGGCACCATCTTTCTATCCATCCCACCGATGACCTGCCCGAGACTCTCAACGTTCACACGCCCACCGCTGCTTGGTCTGCGGGCGCAGTGTCCCGGCAATTGCGGGAGTGGAGACTCGCTGAATGGGCCAACCGGCGTCTGAAGCAGCTCGACTTCACTGCGGACTTTGACGTCGATGAGTTCATTAGCCGTTATTGCCGCCTTGGCTGCCACGAGGGTCGGGAAGGGGTAGAGAGTTGGCTGATGGAAAGGGGTTGGACCAACGGAGATGCCTTTGTGGGCCACCAGCGGATCTGGATGAGAGAGAACGCGTGGTGGGAAGCCGAGACGATGCTTGACCTCAAACCGGAGGAACCTCCCATGGCCAACCCCTTCCTCTACGGGAATAGCATGCTCGATGCTAGCCTGCCGCATTATGCGGGCACTCCTATGGCCGAATCCACCAGTCTCTTGGGGAGTCGAGACAACCTCTTGCAGCGGCAAAACACGCTAGTCCAGAGTGTCCACGGCGGTGCCAAGTCAGTCGCCCCCAGTATCCCCAACACGCTAAATATGGGCGGTGGTGACTATGGTCTGGGTGGCAAGGGCGATACCAAGAAATGGGATACTCCCGAAGATGACTATGCTAACTACAACGGTGGTGAAATTGACCCGGAAATCGGGGACCCCAAACACATTGAAAAGAAGGAAATCACCCCGGCCCGGCGCGCCTGGGCCGGCACCGTCTGGGCATTGACCTTCTGGATACCATCTTTTTTACTGCGCTGGGTTGGCCAGATGAAGCGTCCGGACATCCGGATGGCGTGGCGAGAAAAGCTGGTTCTTTTCTTTTTCATCTGTCTTTTCAACGGAATCGTCTGCTTTTACATCATCGCGTTCGGTGACCTCCTTTGCCCGAACAAGGACAAGGTTTGGAACAAGGAGCAAGTCAGTTGGCATACAGGCAACAACGACTTCTACGTGAGTATACACGGCAACGTCTATGATATCAGTAAATTCTGGAGACTCCAGCACAGTGACTCGTCGATTGAGACGACCACGTCCAACATGGAGCCGTTTGCTGGAGAGATTCTCGATGCGTACTTCCCTCCTCCATTGACCGTTTTCTGCGCGCCATACGTCACGGAGTCGTCGGTCACCCTGGAGTACAACAACACGAATGCCCTCCTGTATCCCAATGCGGAGCACGACTGCGGTCCTTATCATACACCTTCGACGACTACCAAACTGCACAACATCACTTGGTACGCGGATATCTATCTGCCGAGTATCAAGCAATACTACAAAGGAAACCTTGTGTGGACGAGGAAAACTGTCAAGAAGCAAGCCGAGGAGAGTTCGCGCTACTGGGTTATCGTCCACGAGAAGATCTACGACCTCACGGATTATTTCTACACCGCTGACTTGTTTGACGACGATAGCACTTATGCGTTTTTGCCGTCCGCCGTGACCGACCTTTTCAAGGACTATGCCGGTGAGGATGTGACTGATAAGTGGAAGAACACGACGGATTTCCAGGAGTCCCAGATGTGTCTCGACTACGTCTTCTACAAAGGAAAGGTCGATTTCCGAGAGAGTCCCCGGTGCACGGTCAACAACTGGATCCTTCTGGCCTTTACCGTCTTGATCTGCGCTGTCATTGTTGTGAAGTTCCTGGGTGCTCTTCAATTTGGATCCAAACGCCGTCCTTCACCTCAGGACAAATTTGTCATCTGTCTCGTGCCAGCGTACACAGAAGGAGAGGACGCGCTGCGCCAAGGTCTCGACTCGCTCACATCGCTTGAATACGACAACAAGCGGAAGCTGATTTTTGTCATTTGTGACGGTATGATTGTGGGTGGCGGCAACGATCGACCAACGCCCAAGATTGTCCTGGATATCCTGGGAGTGGACCCCAAGATCGACCCCCCTGCCTTGCCGTGCTACGCCATCGGACAGGGCAGCGAGCAACTCAACTACGGAAAGGTGTACTCGGGTCTCTACGAATTTGAGGGCAATGTCGTTCCATACATTGTCGTGGTCAAGATCGGAAAGGAGTCGGAACAGAGTAAGCCCAAGCCTGGCAATCGCGGCAAACGTGACACGCAGATTCTTCTCATGAGATTCCTCAACCGCGTTCACCATCGCTCGCCAATGTCGCCGCTTGAATTGGAGATTTTCCACCAGATCAACAACGTCATCGGTGTGGACCCCGAGCTTTACGAATACTGCCTGATGGTGGATGCGGATACCAGTGTTCGCGAAGACTCGCTCAACCGTCTGGTTGCGGCCTGTGCTAATGACGCCCGGGTTGCCGGTATCTGCGGTGAGACCAGTCTCCAGAACGAGGAACGTAGTTGGTGGACGATGATCCAGGTTTACGAGTACTACATTTCCCACCATCTGGCCAAGGCATTCGAGTCTCTTTTTGGCAGTGTCACCTGTCTTCCTGGATGGTAAGCAGCCCGATGTTTCGGCGAAGTTTTGACTAACGTTTCCAGTTTCTGCATGTATCGTCTCCGGACTGCCGACAAGGGCAAACCACTGATTATTTCGGACGCGGTCATCGCTGAGTATGCCGACAACGATGTGGACACGCTTCATAAGAAGAACCTGCTTGCTTTGGGTGAGGATCGTTTCTTGACGACCCTAATGACCAAGCACTTCCCTCACATGTCGTACAAGTTCATCCCCGACGCCTTTGCCAGCACTGCTGCGCCGGAGACGTGGTCGGTACTTCTCTCGCAGCGTCGTCGTTGGATTAACTCGACGATTCACAACCTGGTAGAAGTGGCGGCCCTGAAGGACATGTGTGGGTTCTGCCTGTTTGGCATGCGCTTCGTCGTGCTGGTGGATCTCTTGGGAACGATCATCCTCCCGGCCACGTGTGTCTATCTGGGCTACCTGATCTATCGCGTTGCCAGTGGCACCGGGCCCTTCCCCATGATTTCCATTGTCATGTTGGCGGGTGTGTATGGTCTCCAGGCGATTATCTTCCTTCTCAAACGGCAGTGGCAGCACATCGGATGGATGGTCATCTATCTCTGTGCCTATCCGGTGTACAACTTTATCCTGCCGCTGTATTCCTTCTGGAAGCAAGACGACTTCAGTTGGGGTAGCACGCGTATCGTCATCGGAGAGAAGGGCAACAAGCGGGTGGTGGCCGTGGACGATGAGGGCTACGACCCGCGCAGCGTCCCGATGCAGCGTTGGGATGACTACGCGCTAGCCAACAACCTCCCCGGTCGGCGCGGCGATTTCGGCATGAGCACGGAGAAGCTGTACCAGGCGCGGTATGAGAACGAGATGGCTATGGAGATGGACGACATGCACTCGAACTACTCGTCGGTGAAGCCGGCGTCGACGATCCTAACGGGCTTCCCTCACCACCAAGGCCGCAACAGCAGTCCGTACATGCCGCCGCAATCCCCGGCACCCTTCGGAGGGAACGTGCCGGGCAACCGCAACTCGCACCTGTCGAGCTTCACGCGGTACACGGACCAGCCGCTGCACGGCCACTCGACGTCGCGGCACATGTCTCTGGGCAACCTCAGCCAGTTCAGCGGCATGCCGACGAACCGACACAGCGTGGGTCTGATGCAGAGCACGGACAACCTTCTGGGCAACCGGCCCAACTCGCGCAGCCCGGTGGGCGGCGTGCACTCGCGGCCGGTCAGCGCGTTCGACTTCCGCGGCAGCAACGGGCCCGGCGGGCCGGACGAGGGGTCCATCACGGAAGCGATCCGGGGGTGTTTGGCGGAGGTGGATCTGGACACGGTGACGAAGAAGCAAGGTGAGTTTTCACTGAACCATGAATATGAATATCTGGGCAATTACTAACTCGCCGAATAGTGCGCGCCCTCGTGGAGCAGCGGCTGCAGACGACGTTGATGGGCGATAAGCGGGCCTTCCTGGACCGGCAGATCGACCACGAGCTGGCCAGCATGTAGGGCGGGTGGAATTGATTCTTGTGATTTGTGATCTAGCTGGGTCTCTCTCCCATGCCATACATAGTATTGCCACATATTTGTTTCGGGGGCATGCAGGGCGTTTAGGGCATTCAGCGATTTGTGAATGTATGTAATGATGTGATACATGTACTGTTTAATAGATCGGATCATTACTAGGTAGTTAGTGGTATGGGTAACTATATCTGCTGAGTATAGAGGTGGTAGAGGTAGATTGTGAATGCGATTGTGAATGAGATTGTGATATATACATCCACCTCTTAGCGCCAGGTCATGTGCTACTTCATGGCTATAAATAAGTCTGACTGTCACTGTCGATAATTCTTACCCCACCTGATTACAGTTGATATATAGAAGACCTCATCAACTATCTCTATCTATCGTCATACACCATCCTCAACTTCCACTCAGACACTCTACATGCCCTGTCCCTTCTACAACCCTTTACCAGTAATTATTTCCCCCATATACTCCGTACAACATCACCACAACCACACTGGCAATGATTCTAACCTTTTAAGAAGTACTTACCTCGGACTCTCAACTCTTCACCTACCAATAAATACATCAATCAGCTTCATATCCACCCTCCTTACCCAGCAGACCACCTTACTAGTTCCTACCCCACTCGCCCTTCGCAATCTCAGCTTCAACCCCGGATTCGATACCCTCCCCCAACCCTGTTCTATCCATTCCAACCGTCTCAACCCACCCCCAAAATGCCCCAATCGCAATCCTATTCCCCCTCCCCCTCCCCTCCCCTCCTCCCCCACCAGCACCAGCAAACCCAAACCCCATCCCAACCCCCTCAAACCCCACTCCCGAGAAATCCACCGCCCAAACCGCCTTCACAGCAACCCTCCTCTCCGTCGGCAGCACCTACGAAGCGCCGCTCCGCGAACGGACCCAAACGCTGCACGCGAATGCCGCGGCCCTGCAGCGCCAGGAGACCGAGCTGGCGCGCACCACGGCGGACCTCGCGCGCCTGAATAGCCAGTGGGCGGGGGTCGCGGATACGGCGCGCATCGGGCTCAAGGAGATCGGCGACGTGCAGAATTGGGCGGAGGTTATTGAGAGGGAGCTTTTGGTGTTGGAGGATGTTGTTTCTAGGGTTGAGGGGGGAGATAGTGAGGATGGGGAGGGGGAGGGGAGGGGGAGGGGGAGGGGGAGGGGGATGAAAGGGAGGGAGGTATCAGGGGGGCTAGGGATGGGGTTACGCTTGCGTCGGGGGTATATACTATCAACGGAGGGGCGCATATGGATATGAATTCGAATGGGTCTGTGTACGGGAATGGAGATGTCTTTGGGGTTGGGACGGGGAGGGGTTTAGGGAAGGGGAAGGGGAAAGGGAAGGGGAAGGGGAAGGATATAGGTGTGGCTGTGGGAGAAGGGTATGTGGATGAGGATGTGGATGAGAATGAGTATGAGGATAGGGATGTGGAGGGAGGTAGGGCTGAGGGTCAAGATCAAGCTCAAGTTCAAGTTCAGGGCCAAGGACAGGGAGAAAGAGGCAAAGGGTGGTTTCGGTGGTGGTGACCTAACCTGATCTGTTCATTTCATGCATTACTTATCTCTCTATCTTTTTGGTGTTTTATTTCTCCGTATTGCATCCATCCATCCATCTATTTATCCATCTTCTTCGGTGTTATTCCGAGTCATTAATTACTGGTTAACTTCCTCCCCCCTATTCAGTGGGGGTGGGTAATAGGTCCTAGGTATCTGCAATTTAAAGCACCCTGCTGCTGCTTCTGCTGATCATCTATATTCAAAACTAAATCACAGTAAAGCGTCACATATCAGTATGTTGTCTGTCTGTCTGTCCGTCCGTCCGTCCGTCCGCCACTAAACGCGAGAATCTTAGATCTGGACCTGCCAGACCTCTCTCTCTCCCCCCCCCTTCTAGTATGTATGTATGTGCATGTATCTTGTCAACAATATACACAGAATAGCTTGTTATAGTGGTACAGCATTGGTGGGGTATAGTGATGGTGAAAGGAACAGATAAACAGACAGACAGATATCTTCCATCGACACGGACCAATTCTCTCCTCTCCTCCCACACATCCAAAAACCCCACCAACCAGACCATCAGTCAATCACCCACTCACTCATCAGATAATCTAAAAAGGCGGCGCCACAACAGTCTCCAACGACCGATCAAACGCCTTCCGACTATCATGCTCAACCATACCCAGAACCTCCCACGTGCGCCCTATCCCCAGACCCTGCGGCAACCCATAGATACTATTCCGAGCGATCGGAGGACCCTGCGGACGACCACGGACAAGCCTATTCTTCTTGGCAGCAGCGACGCGGTCCTGCTCGCGTTCATGGGTGATGATATCGTCGCGCCATTCGGCCCAGCGCTGGAAGTTCTCGCGCTGCTGGAGCACCTGGTACCGGAGTTTGGATTTCGCGGGACGCCAGGTACCGCGGGTAGTGGTTTCTTGTGATGAGGTGGTTGTGGTGGTGGATTTGAGGTCGACGACGGAGGAGTCCTTGGTGAGTTTGAGGAGGTGGGTGAAGACGTCTCTGCTTTCGGAGGCGGTTTGGTGGAGTTTCTCGCGGTGGGGGGAGAGGGGGGCCTCGGTGAGAGGGACGTCGAGCCAGGAGTGCATTTCGGCGGAGCGTTGCACGGAGAAGGGATCGAGCATGTTGACGCGACGGTTTTCTTCGCGGAGGTAGCGGACGGCGGCTTGCAGGCTTTCGACCTCGGCGCGGAGGGCCTCGTTCTCGCGCATGGCGGCGAGGGAGAGGCCCGGGTCCACGACGACGCCTTCGGGGTTGGTGGCCCCGGTGGTGCCGGAGATGCGTTTGAGCTTTTCGAGGCGGGATTTGAAGTCGTCGCGTTCGGCTTCGAGGGCCGCGAGGTCCTTGCGCTGGGCTTGGACGGTGGCTTCGAGGTCGGACTTTTGGGTGCGCGCGGTTTCGATCTCGGCTTCGAGGTCTTTGACCATCGAGGCTTTTTTGCTGGCTTCGCGCATGCGGGACTCGACGAGCTCGACTTTGATGGTCTGCTCTTCGATGGTCTTGTCTTTGACGCCGAGGGCGGTGGACGCTTCGTGGATTTCGTTCTTGAGGCGGCGGATCTCTTCGTCGGCGTCGGGCGAGATGGTTTTGTTGGACTTGAGTTCTTCGGCTCGGACGGTCCAGGGGGAGGGGCGAGTTTCGAACTCGGTGGTGATGGATAGATCGGAGGTGATTGAGTCGAGCTCTTCGAGGAAGCCGCCCAGGCTGCGTAGCCGATTGCCGATGAGGGACATGGTGTCGCTGCTTTCGCTCCCGGTCTCGGAGGGCTGGGCGTACAGGGTGGAGATTTGAGACATGGTCGTCAGGGATTCTTCCAGGGTCAGAGCCTCCGTGCGGCTCTCGTCGACAACCAGCAGGACGATGTTCTCTCCCAGCTGGCGGGTCATATCGGACAGGTCCTTGGCGGCTTCTTCGGCTTGCTTGAAGGGCCCAACAACGTCATGCGACAGACCAAGGGATCTTGAGCGTAGCTCCTCAAGGGACCGGTAGATTTTTCCCATGGCGACCTTGAGTCCGCGAGCTTGAGAGACAAGCCCTTCCATCTTGTTGTAGAGGAATGTGTGCTCTTCGTCGTTCCCTTCCGGGGCCACAAGCTTGGACTGTAACAACGACCTCAGCCGTGATACTGCAGAGGCAGCATGGTCGATGTAGGATTGGGCCAACATCGAGCGCATGCAAAGTTCGTCGGCAAATGTCTCGAGAGAGATTGGGAGCAGAGTCTCGGCCAGATGGGACAGGAGTGCGATGGATCGTTGCAGCTCGACGCCACACTTCTTCAGGTTGACGTCGTTCTTTTTCAGGGCTTCGATCCAGAAGTTCAAGGTGCGCTCCACCGGCTCCATCTCGAACAAAGCACCCTTTATGCTTTCGAAGCCTTCTGCGGAGCAGCCAGTGATGTAGTTCACGAAACGGTTGCAAATTGCAGCAATCCATTGCAGCTTCTCCATGACATCATGGGAAACAAACACATCCTCCAGAACGGTGGATATGGAGGCTTGGTCCGAGATCTTCTCACGGAAAGTGTTGTTCATCAATGTTGCCTTGGAGCTAACGCGCTTGAAGCGGAGAAGCGCGAGAACGGCACTCTTCTCGCTCTCGTAGTACTCGGGGAGATACAACTTCAAGATAGACAGGTGCTGGGATGCCTCCTCTGAATCCATGCGGTCGAGCTCGATGTCAATTGTCTTGGTCTGTGTCTTCGCAACAGATGCCTGAAGCTTCAGATTGAGATCCATCATGGTACGAGAACGACTTGTGAGATCGGTGGCCTCGGCTTCGGAGATCTGCTGCGATGCTCGCATATCCTCCAAATCTCCTTGCAGGGCAGAAACCAGTTCTCGAAAGCGGACCAGGGTGTATTCCAGCTCGTCGATGGCTTCGTCTTGCTGGACGATTCTCCGACACTGCTCGTTGAAGAGGCCTTCCCGGTAATCGATCTCCTCCTGCAGCTGTTTCTCTGTCTCGATGTGGTTGTACTCCAGTTCGTCGTTGATATCCTTCAGAGCTTCCAAGTCCTCGATCGCGGCCTTCAGTTCGTTGATGTCTTCCTGATACCGCATGTTTTTGTCTGCGAGTTCTTCAATCATCTCTTCAGCCCCCAGAGCTGTCTCCAACTGCTGCTTGAGATCCTCAACGTTGTTCTCCGACACAAGCAATTTCTCCTTGGTCGATTCATACTTGGACTTGATAGCAGCATAGTCCTCCAAATCCTGCTGGAGCTCCTTGACCTGGTCCCTGAGTTCTGTTTCCTGCTGCTGGGTCATATCACGCAGACGGAGGAGCGCTTCTCGGAGGCGCTCGTTGGTCTTTTCCATCTGCAGCCATCCATGGCTCGATTTCTCCTCGGGGCTCATGACCTGACCAAGCTCTTCGTTCTCTTCGCGCAGAATCTCGACTTCTAGCTGAAGTTCTTCCACCCTGGCTCTTAGCGCATCGCAGTCGTTTTTGAAGGCATCCGCGGTCTCCTCTGCCATTTCGCGGTCCAGCGTAGCCATTTCCATGAGTGAGTCATGCTCCGCCTGGAGTCGCTCGATCTCCTCGAGCCTGGCTTCTGAATCTTTCAGCTTCTTGCGCAGATCGGTGATCTCTAACTGCTGGGGTTGGTATTTCGCCTGCAACTTCTGGATGATCCCCTCAAACTTGTCTCGTTCCGACTGCAACTGCTCGAGGGCCTTCAGCCTGTCTCGATCATCGGCCCGTTTCTTCTCCATCACCCGCAATTTGGTTTTCAGCTCATCCAGCTCCCGCGACACGGCAGTGCCGCCGAGAGATTGGCGGTGCGAAGAAGATGGCTGTGGCTTTTGACTGGCGGAACCCGCGCGCAATGAGCTCGGTGTTGGCCTGGAGAGCCTGGGAACCGATTCCCCATCATCTGGAGACTCCCCCTCAGCATCAGGAGAGCCGGCCTCGAAATCCTCCGACTGGGGGCTTATTCCAGGATCCGCTTCTTCCGACACCCTAGTAGAAGCCGCTGGTCGCAACGCAGGACGCTTAGACAGTCCTGTGGGCGCCGAGACCGCCCCCTGAACACTCGGTCTGCCTGCTTTACTCGGCGGGGCCGATATGGAAGACCGAGCTGTGCGAGTTGCTGCTGACGGGGGCGGCGGGGGGGGCATGGAGGACTTGGAGCTGATCGACGGCCGAGACTTGGGCGTCACCGCAGATGGCCGCGGGGTGCTACTCGCGGAGGATCGGTTCGAGAGGGGGGTGGCGGTAGCTTTCGTAGGCGACTTCGTAGGAGACTATCATGCGAGCAAGCATGATTAGCTTCAACATGCCATTGGCGTCCTCAATGGGTATGGGTTGCATGGTATCATACCTTTGTTGACAAGCGCTGGGAAGCACCTCTCAGGGCCGACGTCGGACTCGCCGAGCCGGCGCTGTGTCGCTTGGTATTCGCAGCGGACAGCGACGTTGGCCTCTTGAGACCAGCCACAGCACCACTTTGGGCGCGCGTTCTGCTCGCGGCTGGTTTGGTATCGCTCACCTTGGGGGGAGCCGGTTTGGCCGGTCGTGCGGGCTGCTCGATGATTGCAGCGATCGCAGAGGGCCGGACGAACATGCCATATCCGGGCTGGCAGTCGAAGTATCTCTCGCCCTGTACAGCGCCATCGTTCTTTCCTGTGGGCTCGTCCAATTCGATGCCTATCCATTCACCCACCGCGAAGTGTGTCGGGCCAACAAACCGAGCGGTGGCCTGCCGACCGTCAGTCAGAGTGACCACATGGCCGGGAGATAGGTCCGCCATATCAAATCATTCAGGGCTATAGCGATGCCCTGCGCCGACACTGGATTGTCCTGGAGGTGGGGGGAGGGGAGGGATGGTGTTGACGGTGTTGACGGTGTTGGGGGTTCGGGGAAGCTCCCCCGTTCGGAGCCTCAGGACGCGATCCGCGCCCGACCACTCGGCCTGGGGGGCCTCAGGCAGCGAGGCACGGGAATCAGATGGTTAACTAGTCAGGGGCTCCGCGAAACATCCTTCCTACTACTATCTATGACCCATAATGCAAGTGATATCACACAAAACTCCGAATCACCATTTATAACTCCGCACCACAGCGTCCATTCAAGTACCGTCGCTTGCAGTCTTCGTGGTATCTAGAAACATAAGAGATCGTATACACACATGAGCTTTATCTATCGCCAGGAATAGCCCCTCTATACTTAATTGCTCTTGAACAGGCTGGGGAAGCAGGCCCTCAGCTCCTCTAGGCTTTGAATAACGTACGGGGAAGCCGGCACATTGGGCACGGGGAGCCCCGGCTCTACAAGATGGGCGACAGCCCAGCCGCGCTCCGTGGCATGAGTGCAGTTGAGATGAGAGTCATCTAGAGTTCTGTCAGCACCGCGCAGAAGAAAAGGAAAGGAAAGCGGCAGGACAACATACCAACAAAATAACACTCAGCCGTACTCGATGCCCCAGCATCCCTCTCTGCCCTCTCATACATGGTCTGACTGGGCTTGCAGACTAGCGGGGTCTCCGCATAGTCACAGTACGTGATGCCCTCGAACAGATCATCGATCTGGAGCAGCTTCACGACGCGCTTCGCGTGGGTGACGTAGGCGTTTGTGAGCAGCCACAGCCTCACTTTACTCTGGTCAATGTTCTCGAGCAGCTGACGCAGCTGGGGGTCCGGCTTGAGGATATCGTCGAGGGGCAGCGCATCGTCGACTTCGCGGTTGAACTCCAGCGGATCGATCTTATGGTGGCGTGTGAGACCTTCGATAGCGAGACCGTACTCCTTGTAGTATTTCATGTGAAGCATGTGTGCGTCATCGGCGTTGAGGGAGAGGTGTTTGATGAAGAATTGGGCTGGTGGTAGAGGATTGGTTAGCGCGTGGGTTGTTGGAGAGTCGGTGTGGTGCTGGAAGGGTGCGCAGACTCACTGATCAATTTCTGCATCTCATCGTGGATGTTGCATCCTGTAGATATGCGGTTCGTTAGGGGGGCTGCGGATGAGGGCTTCGGTGGGTGGGGTGGGTTCGCGCACCTCTGGAGTAGAGCTGGAGGGAGACAGGTCAGTAATGGACGGTGAGGGAGGTGACGTGGCGATGCACTTACACAGTTGTCAATGTCGAAGAAGAAGACTGGCCGGGGGTCCAGCGGCGTGCTGGAAGCCGTGGTGGTGGACATGGTTCTGCGGGATCGGAGAAGGGGGGCACCCGGGATACTGGCGATATTGCGACGGGGCAGAGGGGATGGTGCGAGGCGGCGACAGGCGAGGAGGGAGTGCGAGGAGGGGGGGATATATGGCGCGCGGAGTAGAGTGGGAGTCAGCGATACTCTCCGGATGGCGCGCAGGGGTGGATGGACCATTTCCAGAGGGAGTGAGGTTCCAGAAACAAGAACGGCGTATGCTGAGTCCGGTCTTGAGATGTCCGAGCGGCGGCGGGAGGAGCCGGGCTGCCCTGCCAGTCAGTCCCAGTCCAGACTACCCAGCCAGACGCACGCCTTGCAAGCTGGCCGCCGCCTTGACAAAGCGGCGCTACCGTTTTCCTCCTCCCCGTTCAACTTTCCCATCTTCCCGCACAACTTCCCGTCTCCTCCTCCCTCTTCCTCCTCTGCTTCCTCCTCCTTCCCACCTTCACCCACATCTCACTCCCTCCCCTCCCTACTCTCTCTGACCACCCATCCTGGTCTCTCTACTGACAAGTGAGGCAGTGAATTGGATTTGACTGCTGCGACCGGCCCACAGCTGATGCAGAAGCCTCATTTGGTTCATCTCTTGGCCTAGCTTAATTTCTCCGGGCCCTAGATCATGGCTACAGCCCAGATCCCACCCCCACCCCCCTCAGGTGGTAGTATTGCTACGAGGCTGTCGGCCAGCGAGGAGGTGCAGGAGTATGAGAAGATCCTGAGAATAAGTGACGATATATTTTCTGGAACTCACCCTAGATTGAAGGTGCCCCAGCAGTTTGTTCGCAAGCCGGCCGCTCGACCGCCCACGGCCGCGGCCTCCACGCCAGCTCAGGTAAAGACGGCCGACCAGCTGAAGACCTCCCCAAAGACTCAACCCCCTCCCGCGCCGTCGGCGCCCAAGTCCGCGACCTGGCAGGCTCCCACCACCGGGAGTGTCCCTTCCAGCGCCACCGGGCCGTCGCGTATGGTTCCAAAGCCTGCCTCGGAGATTGATCCCATCTTCCTGACCAAGTCGGATGATCTGGTCCGGGCAGAGCTACAACTGCAGCGGCAGCGGGTGGAGCGAGTGCTGCGGGAACAGCTGGAGCAGAAGAGGCAGGAGTCGAGGCAGAAGGCCTCGCTGCAGGACGCGAAGCCGGACTTTGACGTTTCCGATGTGCTGGTGAAGGCCTTTGAAATGGTCAACCCATCTCCGTCCGCGGAAGTGCCTGCCCCTGGCGAGGGCAGTGACTCCTTTGACGAGAATTCGTTCTACTCCAGTAGAGCCCCAGACTCCCCGCCCCATGGCCATCCACCAAAACAGTCCCCGGTGCCTCAGTCTAACTCCGAGGAACTTGCTACTGAAGCCCCAGCAGAAAACTATTCAGATGAGTTGCATCGGCTTGAAGCCCTCAACAGAACTGGATCGGATCAGGATGTGCAAGATACTTACCCCGTGGCAGACCACCGATTACCCTACCATCATCAGAGGCAGCCGCGCCGTGGTGAGACGGAGCTTCCGGCTCGCAGATACCAAGAAACCCACCCGCCGACCGACGCGTTCGAAGAACCAGAGTACTCGCCTCCGGCTCCCGGGGTAGCGCCGATGGAGAGGGAAGATAACCATGGGTTCCAGAGGGGATATCCAACCGGCACAAAGCGAAGAGCGCCCGAGGGGCGGCCACAAGAGCGGACCCGCCATGCCCGCATGTCACTCTCACCGGGAGACGACGTAAGGATTGTGCGAAATCACATAACCTCACCTGCCGCTCCACAGCCGTCCAGAGTCTCCCCGCTTGCCATTGCCAAGGTGCCTTCGGTTCATCAGGTCAAAGACTCCGGCCCGGACTACGGTCCGGGGCGGCCCTCTAGCCCCGAGGCTCCTAGCCAGCCGTTGACGTCTAGGAAACGTAGGAGACTGCAAGATGAGCGGGATCGGACTCGTCCCTCGTATACTAGAGCGCAAGCACCAGACAGAATGGAGGAGTCGGTCATCAAGGCAGAGCCTGTTTCGCCGCCACCGTTTGCAGATACTCCACATGCTTACAGAACCCGTCAACCTCAGGAAAAACCTGTGTACATCGACATTGCCTCGCCCCGATACACTCCCGTGCTCGAGCGGAGAGAGCCCCCGATCCGAGAGCCGGCCTACGAGTATGAGATTTACGACCCTCACGGCGATCCGGGCGTCCCGCGGACCGTCTCCAGACTCAGTGCCAGACGTCCGGGGCGGGATGATCAAGACCTGCGGCGAGTCGCGAGCCTCCAACATCAAGCCCGGCAGCCCGAATATGCGCGTGAATATATTGACCAAGCCAGTCCCCAGTCGATCCGGGCCGGGTCTTACGCGATTGTCGAGCGTCCCCCGCCAGGGTTCAGGTATTATGATGAGCTAGCCCCGCCCCCGGTGAGACGCTATATCCCGGCGGGAGAATCGCCCTCGTCCCCGCGACTGCGCGAGACCTACTATGAAGAAGAGCCTCCAATACGGATCATGGCCCCGCCAGCCCGGCGGATTGTGATCGACGAGCATGGCAATCAGTGGTACGAGACGGTGCCTGCCCCCCGGATGCAGGCCATGCCTCCCCCCTCGAGCCGGATCCCGCGCGGCGACGTGTACGACGACCAGGCTGCGTTGCGCCATGCCAGCGTGCGGGCCGCATCTGTTCTGGAGGACCCGTATGGCGGTCGAAGGTACGTGCAGGAAATGCCACCTCCACAAGCGGCTTATCGACGGGTCGCCGACTACGCTCGGCCGGCCCCCAGTGAACGGCGGGCGTACGCGACGCCGCTGGACGAACGCGAGCCGTTCCCCCGTAGTGCCAGCGTCCAGGTGGGCGAATATGCGGCACGGCGTCCGACGTACCTCGACGAGGCGGAGCTTCCCCGGGAGCGGATCGTGAGGGTGCCAAGCGTGCGGCCGTACGAAGAGCCGCGCGAGGTGATCCAGCGGGTGGAAAGCGTGCGGCCGGGCGGGCGCGATGTGAGTGTGTACGTGGATGACGGGACGCGGCAGCCAAGAGAGTACATCGAGCGGCCCGTGTATGTGTCTGCGCGTCCTCTGGCCCGGGAAGAGCGGTACTATGACCCGAGCAACCCGGAGCGGGTCGTGCTCGAGGGGGGGAGGGATGTAGTCCACCGACTTCCCCAGCGCTACTGATGCTGAAACTGAACCTCTGGTCTGACGAACATTTTGTTTTCATTCCCCCCTTCGTATACTGTTGTGACTTTTTTTGTTTTTGTCTCCTTCTGATGTACCTAAAAGCGACCGAAGATCCTGTATCATACTAGGATAGCACCTACTACCTATTATTACTACGATATGGGGGGGGAGGAAACCCACCAGATTTTGATCAACACGAGTACTACACCTAAAGTAGCTGATCACCACGAGTAGTGTACAAATTAATTAGAGAATGGCGTCAAATGACATGACACGATGGTTGGTACTATGCATATTGCAAAGGTCCTCATCCTGTGCCGGTCTGACAGTGACAGACAGGATAGATACCTGACTCAGCCTCGAGCCAGGACACCGGATTGGCCGGGGATGAGTCCGGGGCGGGAAGCGCCAGGCCGTCGAATCAAGGCGCTGCTTGATGCATGGGTGGCTTGCTTGCTTGCTTGCTTGCTTGCTTGCAACCGTCGCCGTTATCTGCTGCTGCTGCTGTTGTTGACTGTTGTTGGTGACTGGTAACTGTTGACTTGTTAACAGGACAGGCAGTTCAACTTTCAAGTTTGTGTTGATGGAACGGGACTTGGAATTGCGGGTCCCAGCAAGCACGTTATAAGCATGTTCTCGATCTTGGGGATATAAGTATCTTGTGGGATTAATATTATGGTATTGAGTCAACACGGCTATGTCCAGGTATCCCACCTACCTAATTAGGTAACCAAGATGTTCTTCCAACTTCCGCCCTGGGAGATAATGTATAATGTAGGTAGGTAGACAGGTTGGTGGCGGTGATCATCATCAACCCAGCCCAGACACGAGAGACGGGGCAAATATATCAGATGCCGATAGATATCTTATTTGCTGTCTGTCTGAAATGGGCACGTTCCTTGCTACTTTACTTTACTTTGTACTTACTATAGTAGGTACTAGGTAGGTCATATACTCCGCTCTAAAGTACTAACTACTATGCTTCCTATCTAGGTGGTATCTAGTGTATCTGATTTGTTAGGCCTATCAAGGTACTATGTGGTAGTCTATCTGGTGAATGTAGATCTATCGCAGGGGATCGGGGTGAATTATTACCCCAGGATTTTGCTGCGGATGGAGTGGTCGAGGCTTGAGATAATCAGGATGGATATAATGTGACGAATCGTGTACTTTTGTCGCTTTACTCGGGTGTGGTTTAATGGGGTTTCTTTTTCTTACTTAATGGGGGTGCAGGGTATTGTCTACATCAGTACTTATATTTATTTACTGTGTCACGGCAGCAGCAGCAGCAGCAGTATTGGCGAACTAGTAGTACTAGTTCAAAATGCATACGAGGTACGGAGTATATAAAAGTTCTATACAGCACAGCACAGCACAGCATATATGTACTATGTAGGTAGACATAGCATACGGTAGGTCGTGCTATCCGACACCACACACACACACACACATACATACATACATACATACATACATACTAGGTACTACAGCTTGCCAGCCTGCATATACAGCCAACCCACATGCAGCATGTACTACTTACACCACAACCACCTATACACCCACCCCCATATTAATATTACAATTGTCATCCCTTTCCCCATAACTAAATCCCAAGAATGAAACCCAAGACCAAAACTACTTCGTACTAAGTACATAAAATCCAAACCAGCAATTAATTACCTTACCATCCGACCCACTCACTCCACGGTTAAGACTCCCTCCCATCCGATGTCCGACAATGACGTCGTTGAGTAAGCCAGGGCCTCGATCGTTGGACACCAACCCAGCAGGGAGGCTGAGTGATAGTCTGTTCGCTTGCCTGTAATGTATGTGTGGTAAGTACTTTATTTCGCCGAAGATACGGACGGATACGGATACAGATGCGTACATCGCGCTTACTGGGCTATCTACTACTACCTTACTGTGTACTCTGTATGATGGTGACAGTTGTTGTTGTTGTTGTTGTGGTGGTGGTAGTGTGTTGATTACATCAGTGATCGACGGTGTCGGGTGTCTTTCCACCAGTTGTTGTGTCTTGTCATACGTAGGTACTGTGGTAGAGTGGGAGGGAGGGCTGGGGCCTTGCAGGCTTGCAGGTGTTGTCTGTCTTCTCTGTCTGTCTGTTTGTCTTTCTTGGGGGAGAGAAGTACCTAGTGGTGTGGGTGGTGTTGGGCTGACTGACTCCTGAGTCTGGGGTCGTTCTATCTAATTTTACTACTTTACTTTACTTTACTTATCTGGGGAAATTAGGTATAGACATAGACATAGACATAAACATTAGACATTAGTCAATGACAGCATCCACTATAACTATACCTCTACCACCCACTCACTTATACCAGTCATTGCAATCGACTTCGATAAATCCCCCATAAACTAACCAACAAACATGGCCCCCCGAAACCTAGAACTCAGACCCAGACTTCCATGCCGATCCAGACCCAACATAATCAGCTTATTCTATCTACTAATCAACCTATGATTCAACGAGCAAGAGTCCGAGTCTGAGTCTGCAGGAACTTCTTGACCACCCATGGATCCAACACAACCCGGTCTGACCGGATAGGTAGGTTCGAAGATCATCGCGATAACGGGTCGGAGGAATGGGGGATGATATCTCACAACAACAATAATAGCAAGGTAATTGGGGGCCTCGGGTTCCGGGCGGAGAAAAAAAAAGTCATGATACACGGTGACGCAAGGCTGGTGTCTCACTCAGTCTTTAGTCTTAATGTCTTTAGTTTTTAGGTATTCTTGGGACTGACTGGCTGGGCTGGGCTGAGGTCGAGGATGGGTAGGTAGGTAAGGTGGGCGTGGGCACCTGACCTGACAGCAACCGGTTTATTCAGGGTTGGGGGTTAACAATGCTGTAGTAGTAGTTGATGTTGTTTGCCATTCTCCATCCCCATGTATCTACCCCGTACATTGTGTCCTGGGACGGATGGGATGGGAGGGGATGAAGAATGTCACCCGTCCGTCTTGTCTCCCGGGCATCCTGCCTGGGTTGGCCTGGTTGGTTGGTATGTATGTACATCACGGACTGCGGAGTATAGCAGTGGCAAATCGGAACGCCCCTCGAATCCCTCCCTCCCTTCGCTTCCCTCCCTTCGCCTCCCTTCCCTCGCGTTCCTCCCTGACTGGTGAGTGGTCAAGCGCGGGAAAACAAAAAAAAAGTGATGATGTACACAGTACACAGTATACTTTCCCCCAGCCCGGGACCCGTTGCAAAACACAAACAATAATATCCTTTGCTTTGAAGTAAGTGCCTTGACAGACTGACAGACAGACAGACAGGTGCAGGTGCAGTGGGTGGTGGTAGCTTACGGCTTGGTTCTATGGATGGGCAAACAGATGGCTTTCCTCAGCTTCCGGGCTTGTGGGCTGGGCTGCCTGCCCCAGATGGTCTCCGACACAACCGGTGATCTCGGGCGAGGGGATTGGGTTGTCCACCACCGTGGGGATGATGTCTAGGGTCTAACTCTATCCTATACTACTACTACTACTACTACTACTACTACTACAGTAGTAGTAACTATTATTTACTGATGATACTTCTGACTGCCCATGATGGTTGAATGAACTGAAGCTGCAAGCAAGGTACTGTTACGTGTTTGTATGGGGAATACCAGTGGCCGTACCGCGACAGCCACACGTGACTCCCCGGGACCGGGAAATCTCGCTTGCAGACCCCAAACGGGCAAGGCGAGTGGGCCGTGCAGGGACGACGATGAACGCAATCGACCGGCATGGCGTATTCGGTACAGGGCGAGTATCAGTGGAAATACCCCCGGTGGGCTGTGTGCTCAGGTGCTGTAACATGATTCACATCAGACGATGAACGGCCGGCAGGCGGTGCGCAGCGCAGCGGCCGAGACAGCGGTAGGAACTGGACTGTGCTTTGTTTCGAGGATCGCTCCTCCGTCCAGGAATTGAGTTTTGTCGTCCATCGCTTTGGGCGGGGGGGGACTCGAATATGAATCCAAGTATGAAACGTGAGTTTGGCTGGGAATTTGAAGTAGTTAAGCCGAATTGTGCTTTCTAAGTAAGTATCTAGCCAGTACTCCATAGTGCCTATGCCTAGCAGTGCTGTAGGGTCTGCCTGTTAGAAGCCGGAAACTTCAGGCTTCAGGCCACTAGTGCCCGTTCTCCATGCCGGACTTGCTGGGGGTTCTGAGTAGGCCGAGATTTAGTGATAGTCCTGCTAGCGTGCGCTGGAATAAGAATAGTAGGGATCAGATGAGCCGGTGGTCAGTTAACCACGACTAGCTAGGAGTAGCAGGAATGGCCACGATCGTACTTTGGCCAGGCGATGCAGACATTGGGCCTAGACACTGGGCTGAGTACCCGCACTTCCCGTCTGAGGGAGCAGGAGGAGGTGAGAGGAATGGGAGGGAGAGAGAGAGTGTGCAGGCAGGAGGATTAAATAGAGTAGCCGTTAAGAGCGTTGGATCGCAGAGATCAGGAGGACCAGGACCGACCGACCGACCGACCAGGACCAGAACCCGACCAGAACCAACACTATGGATAAGCTATGGCTGCTAGTGAGCCAGCGAGCCTCTTGCAGTTGCGTGGTGGTTGTGAGGAAGGATTTGGGGGAGGAGGGGGGGGCAAATAATAATAATAGAGAGATGTCAGTCAGTCAATTCATTCCCCTCCACAAATCCACAGCCGCTTTGGCTTGACGGGGCCTGCCTGAATTCAGCCAGAGGAATCCGGCCAAGTTAGGCTATCCATTCCAATTCCAGCCCAGTGGAACTCGCTCTCTTTCTTCTCGCTCTCTCACAGTCTCAGTCTCAGTCACAGTCACAGTCACTCAGTCACTCAGTCTCTCACTCTCTCTGAGACTCTCACTCTCTCTCTCTCTCTCTCTTCCTTCCTCCCTCCCTCTCCTCCTCCCCCCCAAAGCTCTGCCAAAAACCCAACACCACTTTGTTGATCAACCTTCTCATCTTCTTTTGGCCCTTCCCTTTCCTTGGATTCTTTTTCCCTTTTTTTCTTTTTCTTTCCTTTTTCCTGCTATTTCCACTCCCACCACCCCCTCCCCCCCCCTCTTCGTTTTCTTCTTCCACCCCCCCCCCCCCCTCCACTTCCCCGATACCCGTTTTGGTGCAGACCTGATCGATTCGTCCTTTTCCCACCCATTCCGAATCGAAAACGCCCTTGTCCACCCACCCACCCACCACCATAACCACCACCACCACCTGCACGCCCATCCCTGTCGAGAACGGCCACTGCATTTCTTCACAGGCCACCTCTCCCACCCCCAATCCGTCCTGCCTTCCTCTCCGCCTTCCCTCTGCCTCTCCGTTCGCCATTCTCTCCCCTCCGGTCTTCGCCCCTCTCCCCTCGACTCGTTCAAGGGGCCAGAGACTCGACCTTCCCGTGCCATGCACAAGATTTCCAATTTTACGGGCCAAGCCCGTCATGGCTGGGAGCGAATGACGCCCACCTTTGGCATGTCTCGACCGCACACCGATATGTCTTCCCACTCGCTCCGTCGACCGCATGGCGCGCCGCCGATGACTCCCCCTACCGGTGTCGACCCGACTGTCAACCTCTCCTTCAACGTGCCCTTCTCCTCCACCCTCTCCGGCCCCGACGTCGACGACGTGCTGCACGCCAGCCCCGGCGCCCTGCAGCGCTGGACCTTCTCCGAGGGAACCCCCGAAGGCACGCCTGTCCACCAGCTGCCCGTCCACGCGAGCAATGTCGAGGCCCTGCGGAGGTTGTGTCGGCAGATCACCGAGAGTAGCAACGGAAGAGTCGAGGCGGCGGTCACCTCGTCGGAGCCCAAGACGGTCGCGTCGCTCCAACGGCGGCCCCAGGGGTTGGCGACCAATGTTTGTATCACGGGTGATGGAGAGACGGTGCGAAAGATGCGAGCCAGGGTGCTGAACGAGACCCCGATCCTGTTGGTAGGTTGAATATTCGGGCTTTTGAGTTGGATATTTCTGATACGCCGGATCCGCTAACGGGGCTGCAATAGCGATGTGCGACCGTTGACGTGGATATGCATCTGATCCTGGACAGCACGACCAAGAACATCCGGGCCAGCGTCCTGGAGCACCTGGATACTCTGGCGGCCTACACCGGCACGGACATCTTCCTCCTGAGCCCCAAGATTCGCGATACGGACAGTGCGGTGGTGTCGTCCTACGGGTACGCCTCGGACAATGGGCTGGATCAACGCTTTCGGGTCTCGATCTATGGCGACATGGAGAGTGCTGAGCATGCCAAGACACGGGTTTTGATTATGATCGATCAGATTGTGGGTTTCTCTCCGGATAGTGAACGTGGCTGGAAACTAATTGCTGCCAGCTTAAACGTCACGTGGACGCCATGAAGCTGGAGCTGACGATGCACACTTTGGTGTGCGGCCGGACTCGCAAGAACATCAAGCTCATCGAGGCTGCGACTGGGACCGCCATCTACTTCCCGCCGCCCTTCCCCCGCATTTTCGGATACACGCCCCCGGGCGCCCACCGCCGCAGTGAGGATGAGGTCTACATCACCGGTGATACCCAGGAGCAGATCGCGCGTGCGAAGCAAAAGCTTCGGGAGTTGGTCATGGGCGTCAAGATCTACGTCAAGGATGTCATCGTCAACTCGAATAAGATCGACAACGTTCTGCTGGACCGTCTCGACAAGGTTCGGAAGGTGATGGAGATGAACGGCTCCTACGTTCTCTTCCCCCAGCTGGGTACGCAGCGAGGTCTTGTTCGCATCCAGGGCACCGAGGTCTTGCACGTCGAGCGCACCGTGCGGGAGATTATGGCTTTGGTATGTCCAAAAGGCACCCAATTGAAGATTATGACTAACGGACAACAGGCTGGCCAGTTCTACAGCGCATCCTGGTGGATCATTATGCCCGATCAGTCGCAAGGGCAATTCCGCGCTCCATCCCCTGCCGATGTCCGCACTATGCTTTCTGACATCTGCAGCAACTCCGGCGCGGAAGTCAGCTTTGACAACCTGACGTTCACCATCAATGGATCGGACGATGCGGTCAAAGCCGCCATGATGGTGATCAACCAGATCCCGTTTGTGCAGCGGAGCCAGTACCAGATGCGCGTGAAGATCGAGCTTGCCAACGAGCACAAGGAATTCGTCAGCGGCAAAAAGAACGGCAAGATCAACAAGATCATGGGGCAGAGTGAGTTACCCGTCGATTTTACATATGCTTGTCAAGATTCTAACCGAACAGGCAACGTTCAAATCATTTTTGATGGGTTCAACGAGTACAATTTCTACATCGACGTGTGTGGAAACCAGTACGAGTCCACCAAGAATGGGCTGGATCTTGTTGAGCAGGAAATGCCGGCGTCGATCTCCTTCCACGTGCCCGACCAATACCACAAGCGGATCATCGGGATCGGTGGCCAGCACATCCAGCGCATCATGAAGAAATACTCGGTGTTCGTCAAGTTCTCCAACGCTATGGACCGCGGCGGTATGGGCAAGGAAGATGATGACATCAAGGTCGACAATGTCATTTGCCGCACCCCTGCCCGTAACGCCCAGAGTCTGGACCTCGTCAAGCAGGAGATCATGGACATGGTCGAGAAAGTCGTGAGTTGTCCGTTTCGTTGCCGATGTTTCATATCTAACCTAAACAGGATGCCGAGTATGTTTCCGAACGCGTCGTCATCAACCGCTTGTATCACCGTGAATTGCTTGCGCGCATTTCCGAAATCGATGAGCTGGAGAAGAAGTGGAACTGCAAGATCGAGTTCCCCAGCACTGAGCTTGCCAGTGACGTCGTGGCCATCTCCGGTCCCGAATACCAGGTCCCTCAGGCTGTTGATGCCCTCCTGGTGAGTCGCAAAGATTTTGGTTATCTGTAAACATGCTGACAAGTATTCAGGGAATGGTTCCGGAGAGCCACGAGCTACTCTTCCAGAGCTCCGCAGAACTCCGAGAGTACTTCAAGTCTGCCGATTTCCGCGACGATGTTTGCGCCAAGCTCAAGGACCAGTATGAGGTCGATACCACGGTGGATGAAGGCTCCGACCTCCCGGCGCCCGAGAGCCGCTCCTCTTCGCCCACCTTTGGGCCCGAGGACCGCGCCGTCCTCGGGTACACTCGCAACAACGCGGGTGGGCTGAAGGACGCCATCGACTTCTTGATCTCCCGCTTGGTGGCCCATGGCCTCGACGCGACGACGGTCAAGGGGGCGATCCCCCGCCCCAAGTCCGACTCGTTCGAAGAGTCCCTTCCCTTCTTCGACTCGAAGTTGCTGCAGCATGCGCCTGCGCCGATCGTGACGGACTCCCCCACTCGGCCCAACTTCTCGGATGAGACGAGTGAGCGTGGGTCCATCTTCGAGCGGCTGCGCAAGCCCGGCAGCATCTCCTCTTTCTCCTCGTTCATTGGCCGTAAGAACCACTCGGCCTCCCCCGGATCGTTCTTCAAGCATGCATCCAGCAACGCCTCGAAGGCGTCTCTGGTCTCGATGGAGTCTCGAGACAGTGGGTACCGCAACCCATGGAATGATTCTGGCGTGAACCTTGCCGAGGACGACGTGCCGGTCCTCGGAAGTTCTCACAGCCACAGCAGCAGCAATGGCTGGCCCGCGCGCTTTGACACCAAATTTCCATTCGGTACTGCGCCAGGGGACATGACACCCAAGCATGACCCGCGCACATCTTTTGACAGTGGTCGTCCTAGTACTTCCAATTCTACTTCTGGATACCCGGCCCCGATTGGGCCACCGCGTTAAAATCAATGTCAATTTGCAGCAGTATACCCCAGAGACTTTTTTTTCACTTTTTGTGTTTTTGTGTGTTTTTTCATGTTTTGTGTCTTGAGATTTGTTGTCAGCGATTCATTCTTTCGGATTTTTATTTTGATACCACCGAGTGCAAGTCATTAAAACGCGCCGAGAGAAAAGATATACAAAAAAAGGCCGGGGGAGAAGGAGCCGGCCTCGTTTGTGCGTCATCCGGCTTCGTTTCATCCAGCCTTGTGATATTCTCCCCTCTGAATTTGATTTTGCATGTTGATCTTTCTGTTCTGCTCCATCGTTGTTCAGCCGGGTTGTGTGTAGGTGCCAGTGCCTGGGCCCGGGGAGCGGTTTAACTTGTTGTTTACACGGTACAAGGGAAGCGCGGGTGGAAGATGCGGATGGGATGGGATGGGATGGGGTTTGCGTTTTTAAAACATTCCAGATATGATACCAAGTGAAACGATGGTGTATGAAGGTGTTTGTTTACTTTCTTCTCTTCTCTTCTTTGCTCTGATTGCGTGATATTCCCCTCTGCATGCCTGCCTGTCTGTCTGCCTGCTTGCGTGTTTGGTCTCGTTGAGAACCCGGAGAATCTCCTGGAGCCGTCTGCTCTGCTCTGCTCTGCTGGGCTCCAAGGTAATTCTCTGCTCGGCCTCTGCTATATTTGCTGTGCTGTGCTGTCCTTTGTTTTGGATCGTACTATATACCTCCATCAGCGCGATATCTTAAGACTACCTACCTTCTACCTTCTACCATCCTATCAATGCGAGTGTGGAGAGATCTGGTTTTTGGTGTCTGGTTCTTCTGGTGTGTTGGTTTACTGCGTATGAACCGTAGATTTACTGTCTGTAACTGTAACTAATTGTAAGCAGTAGGTCGATATTTAGGTGGATGTAGGTTGGTAGACAGGTGTGGAAGTGAGTATGTACCTAAGTATCTATATTCATTCAATTAGAGAGCGAGTGGGATATAATAGCAACCAACTAACTCCCTTGATCTATTTATTCACTTAATCCTTCCTTCCTTCCTTCCTTCCTTCCCGCTCTCTCCTATTTTGAAAACGGGATAAGACGGGATATAGAAAAGAGGAAATAGATAGACACACTACGCACGGGGTGGAATGGAGTGAAGTAGAGGAATGGAGTAGTTAGTTAGATAGTCCAGACATTAGTCACTCTAGACTTGTAGTTTGTTATACTGCTCCTAAAATCGACTGCATATCAACCAGCTCGCATGGCTCAGTTGGTAGAGCGCATGACTAGTAATCATGAGGTCCTCGGTTCGAATCCGAGTGTGAGCACATACACATACATTCCTTTTTTTTGTGTTTTTTTGTGTTTGTTTTTTTGGTTGGGTGGTTGTGAGTAATTGAGAAGGAAGATTTGTGTGGGGGGGTTTTTTTTGTTGTTGTGGGAGGGGAGGGGAGAGTAAGCCGAGCCGGTGAGAGCCATATCAGGGGATAATGGAATGGAAATACAATAAAACAAACCAACTAATCAATGCGAATTAATTCATTCGTGTTATGCTAACTAACACCTGACCCGTATGGTAGGTAGGTACATAGTAGGCCGCTGGCGGAAGTTACCGCGAGGTTGTGGCCAGTTGTGGCCAGTTGTGGCTAGTTGTGACCAGTTGCATAACAGTTCCTAATAGTTGCTGACTAAAATAAATAGTAAGCATCCCTATTATACTGTATATAATAGTTATTACACTATTTTGAAACTATATTTAAGAAAACAACAAGAAAGTAACTGTTTGAAGCTTATTTTATAATTATTTATTATTATTAAAAGCTTATTACTTTTCTATTTCTAATCTATCTACAAATAATTATATTACTATTTCTTTTTTTTTATAGTAAGTAAGTTCTCCACAGGTTATTCACTGAATCACTGTTACCTTACTGTCAATTCACTGTCAATTTACTATCAATTCACTGTTACTTCACTCTCTTCTTATATATATTACATCTTTCTCTCTTCTCATTCTCTCACTCTTTCTCTTCTCTACATCACTCTCTTAAGTTGTTTCTGTCACTTCCTCCCTCCCTCTCTCTCAATCTTTTACTATCTCTCTCCTTTACACTTCTTCTTCACAACTAGACCGTCATGGAGAAGGCTACCAGCATCAAAATGGCAGAAACGCCCGAAACGCCCGAAGAAACAGTCATCCATTGGTCGAGAGGTGAGCTGAAATGCTTTTGCAGACGACGCAAGGAGACAGTACTAATATGGAAGAAATAGGTAACAAACACAGCTTAGAACCCTCCTCTGCAAGCAACAATACAGCAGAGGTGACAGCGGCACAGGAGCTGGCCAAGAAAGGCAAAAGGGGACTGCTGGAGTTACTGAAACTCAATTCCGAAGACGACTGGAGGGAGTGGTTAGTGTCAGACTTAGTCAAACCGTACTGGCTAGAACTTTGGGACTATCTGGCGAAAAACCCGACTGCTAAGCAGAAGCGCGGAGCCGGGCTGGCCCGGATCCAGGAGCTAATAATTAAAGGAGAAGCACGGGGCGTCGCGAAATACAGCCGTCGCCATGTCGAGAAAACCGGATGGGATCTTAACGAACACCTCGCATACTTCGTCCATAATGTGAGATCGGAAAACACGCACAGACGGGGGGGAGTGTTCTTTCAGAAGAACCTCCCTGAGAACATCATGGACACGGCAATATGGACTTTGAAGAACATTCTCATACAGATGCATAGCCCGTCGCAAATAAATAAGCCAAGTGGCGGAAAGGCGATTTTCGGGGAGACCCTGCCAGGTAAGAATTCGGGAGCATTCTGGAAAAGGCTTTCACAGCTGACTCCAGTGATCAAAAAAAATGATAGAGTACAAATCCATCAAAGTGCACAACACTAGGGCGCAGCAAGCGGCCAAGGCAGGGGCTGATTCCGCAGCTAAGAGCAAGGCGGACCCGAAGGAGGTACAAGAACCAGAGTCAGATGGAGAATCATCGCTGTCATCACTTGCAGACACAACCGAAGATGAGTTCCCGGGTCCGTTGGGGGCACAGCAACCACGGACCCAAGTCTGGGAGCACGAGCCGTTGAGTGACCGACAAAGGCTGATCCTCAAACGGCAGTCGGAGACCTTTGATCTTAAAGATCCGTTTTGGGCCTATGCTCGCATAGAAGCCGCCCTGCAGTTATCAGGCCCTCAAACCATAGCACAGGCAGAGGAGATGGTCGCGACTGCTGAGAGTGCTGAAAGTGTGGAAACTGATGATGTCAGTGATACCACACCAAGAAAACCCAAGCGCGTCAAGAAAGCAGTGGATATGAGGAAAATGCTGGACAACCGCGTTTTCGAGTCAAGCGCATACCAGACCGCAGAGAATCTCCAGTGGTCGTTTGATACCAGTACAGATGCAAATGATCTGCTCATCCAACCAACATTGGAGGATTATGAGAGGATCTCGATGCATGAAAAGTGGCTAGACGCCCAGGAGTACCAATTCGATAATCACGAGGAGGCCTGCAGGAACCTGGGTATTGTTGATAAGGCGAACCCCCGAATAAAGGGCATGCAGCGCGGGCAAGAGCTGAAATTTTGGCAGCCGGTCTGCATCAATCGTGTGGCTGAAATCATGAGACTCGATTTGCTGCGTGGCGCCATCATTGCTGATGTTGTCGGCGTTGGTAAGACTTGGAGGCCGTTGCATTCCTCTTGCATGTGAGTATTCTTCCAGAGATCGGCAGAAGGCTTTTGCAGCTGACACAATATAGCAACTAAACAAATTTAAGCACAAACATGCTGCAGCTGAGCAAGACAAGACAGAGCCTCCAGAGGGCCGTCCTGTGATTATTATTGTCCCACCCCATCTCATCGACCAGTGGATGGACGAGATAATGTCGATAACTGAGGAATTTCAGGTGTTGCTCTACTATGGTGATGCCCGCCGCCAGGTGGGAAGCTATATCAAAGACAAGCTGACAAAAAGCACGAGATCTTCAAAGGCGGGCTCGAGAGTGCACGTACTATTGTGGTAACCTCATACCAGACATGGGAGGCACGCCATGGCCCCCAAGCAGTAAAAGCTTGGTGTGGCAGCAAGAAAAAGCCATATAACCCCGCCAATCCGCACATGCCCCAGACTTCCCTGGCAATCTAAATGGACGCTTTGGAGTTGCTGTGTTTGATGAAGCGCATATGCTTCGGAACAGGGA